ATGTGGAAAGTCTTCTTGGGGCCTGGGATGGGGGTGAGGGAGGAGGTATGGGGGCAGGTGTAGCACTTCCTGCGGTTGCAGGGAAAAGTGCCGGGTGTGGTGGAGCTGGAGGGGAGTGTGGAGCGGACAAGGGAGTCACGGAGAGAGTTGTCCCTCCGGAAAGCAGATAAGGGTGGGGAGGGAAAGATGTCTTTGGTGGTGGGGTCGGATTGCAGATGGCGGAAGTGTCGGAGGATGATGCGTTGGATCCGGAGGTTGGTGGGGTGGTACGTGAGGACGAGGGGGATTCTTTTTTGGTTCTTATTGCGTGGACGGGGTGTGAGGGATGAGGTGCGGGAGATGTGGGAGACACGGTTGAGGGCGTTCTCGACCACCGAGGAGGGGAAGTTACGGTCCTTGAAAAACGAGGACAACTGAGATGTACGGGAGTGGAATGCCTCATCCTGGGAGCAGATGCGGCGGAGGCGAAGGAATTGGGAATAGGGGATAGCATTTTTGCAGGAAGGTGGGTGGGAGGAGGAGTATTCTAGGTAGCTGTGGGAGTCGGTGGGCTTGAAATGAATATCGGTTTCTAGGTGGTTGCCCGATATGGAGACAGAGAGGTCCAGGAAGGGGAGAGAGGTGTTAGAGATGGTCCAGGTAAACTTAAGGTTGGGGTGGAAGGTGTTAGTGAAGTGTATGAACTGTTCGAGCTCCTCGTGGGAGCACGAGGCGGCGCCGATACAGTCATCAATGTAACGGAGGAAGAGGTGGGGTTTAGGGCCGGTGTAGGTACGGAAGAGGGATTGTTCCACGTAACCTACAAAGAGGCAGGCGTAGCTTGGGCCCATGCGGGTACCCATGGCTACCCCCTTTGTCTGTAGGAAGTGGGAGGAATTGAAAGAGAAGTTGTTGAGTGTGAGGACGAGTTCGGCTAAGCGGATGAGGGTGTCAGTGGAGGGGGACTGGTCGGGCCTGCGGGACAGGAAGAAGCGGAGGGCCTTAAGGCCATCTGCATGGGGAATGCAGGTGTAGAGGGACTGGACGTCCATGGTAAAGATGAGGTGTTGGGGACCGGGGAATTGGAAGTTCTGGAGGAGGTGGAGGGCGTGGGTGGTGTCACGGACATAGGTAGGGAGTTCCTGGACCAAGGGGGAGAAAATGGAGTCGAGATAGTTGGAGATCAGTTCGGTGGGGCAGGAGCAGGCGGAGACAATGGGTCAACCAGGGCATTCAGGTTTGTGGATTTTGGGAAGGAGATAGAAGCGGGCAGTGCGAGGTTGGGGAACGATGAGGTTGGAGGCCGTGGGTGGGAGGTCACCTGAGGTGATGAGGTTGTGGATGGTTTGGGAGATGATGGTTTGGTGCTCAGGGGTGGGGTCTTGATCAAGGGGGCGGTAGGAGGAGGTGTCGGAGAGTTGGCGTCCGGCCTCGGCGATGTAGAGGTCAGTGCGCCATACTACAACTGCACCTCCCTTGTCCGCAGGTTTTATGGTGAGGTTGGGATTGGAGCGGAGGGAGCGGAGGGCTGCACGTTCTGCGAGGGAGAGGTTGGAGTGGATGAGAGGGGTGGAGAGGTTGAGGCGATTGATGTCTCGACGGCAGTTGGAGATGAAGAGGTCGAGGGAGGGTAGGAGGCCTTGGGGTGGTGTCCAGGAGGAGGAGGTGTGTTGGAAGCGGGAGAAGGGGTCAGTAGAGGGAGGGTTAGGTTCACGGTTAAAGAAGTAAGCGTGGAGGCGGAGGCGGCGGAAAAACTGCTCTATGTCCAAGCGTGAGCGGTATTCGTTGATCTGTGGGTGGAGGGGGACAAAGGTGAGCCCTTTACTGAGGACTGACCGTTCGTCCTCAGTAAGGGGTAGGTCTGGGGGGATGGTGAAGACTCGGCAGGGCTGGGTGCTGCTGTCTCCTCTGGAGCTGCTGGCTGTGGAGGTGGTGGGCGGAGCTGTGTCGGCGTCGGCTGTGGGCGGAGCTGTGTCGGCGGTGGGCGGAGTTGTGCCGGTGTCGGCGGTGGGCGGAGTTGCGCCGGCGGTGGGTGGAGTTGCGTCCGCATCGGTGATGGGCGGATCGGCGTCGGAGGTAGGAGGAGCGGGGTCGGCGGCGGCAGTAGCGGTGAGGGTGGTCGCGACTTCAGTGTCGGTGGCAACGGCAGCGATGGTGCTTGCTGTCCCGGAAGTGGGGAACCCGGCGGTGGCGGATGTGACGTCATCTGTGGGTTCTCCGATTGTGGCCTCATGGCCAATGGCGGCGGACCCATTGTGGGGAAGGTCCTGGGTACGGCTGGGGATTTGGGGGGTGGAGGAAGCCCGTTTTGGGTGGTAGGCACCTGTAAGTTTACTGTACTTACGGTTTTTAGTGTCCAATAAAGCTGAGTAGAATTGGGAGTTCAGGTTGTGGATCCTACGTAGAATAAAAAACAGGAGAGGTCCTTTGCAGGTCTGGGAGAGGGAGGCTCTGAGCTGGGGTAGGCACATCAAAGGTTTCTTTTACAAAATAATTGTTCATGGTATTGGGTAACATTAGAATGGACAGAGAATTGGTTAACCAGCAAGAAACAGCAAATAAGCATGAATGGGTCGTATTTGGGTCAGTAAGATGTGACAAGTGGAGTGCCATAGCGTACAATGTTAGGGCCTCAATTATGTATAGTTTATCTCACTGTCTTGAAAGGGGTGAAACCAAATGTATGTTGTGAAGAGTTCATTGGTCTGCAAAGGCACACAGACAAGTTAACTAATTGGGCAAAAACCTGGCAAATGGAGTCTAGTGTGGGGAAAATGTGACCCTATTTACTTTGGAAAGAAAAATAGAAGACCACTTATTCTTCAACTGGGGTAAACACTTCAGAACTTCAATATAGAAGAATCCAGTTTTCCTGGTACATGAATCCAAACAAAAAAGTATGGAGGTCGAGTAAGTGATTAGGATGGGAAATGGTATGTTGTTTATTGCAAGAGGAATGGAATATGAAAGTAGGGTTTTTTAATTCTCATTCTTTAGGGTATTGATGAGACCACATCTGGAGTATTGCGTACAATTTTGGTTTCCTAACTTTAAGAAAGTATACAAAAGCATTAGAAGCAATTCAACTGTTTCCTGGGTGAGGGGGTTATCCTATGAACAAAGATTGGACAGGTTGAGCCTTTATTCTTTGGGGTTTTAAAAGAATGAGAGGTGATCATATTGAAGAATAGAAGATCCTGAGGAGACTTGACCGGGTAGATGCTGAAAGGATCTTTCTCCTTGTCTAGAGACACTAGTACTGGGGGACACGGCTTAAACATAAGGCACTTCCCATTTTTAACTGGAGATTTTGAGTCTATGGAACTCTTTTTTTTTTCCTCGAGAATGGAGGAGACAAAGTAATTGAATATTTGTAAGACAGAAATCGATTCCCTTGTTCAAGTATCGAAGTGTATTGGTTTGGAAGACAAATTGAAATGTGATCAGATCATTTATTGTATTTGAATGGTAGCGTAGTCTTGTGGCAAAAGTGGGAATTAATTGAAGAGTTGAGGGGAGAGAGAGGGAGGCTGTGTGCAGTCTCTACCATTAACAAAAAGAAAAGTTGGCCTTGTACGATGTCTTTAACCTGAGAACCCGGACTAAGCACTTGGATAAACGTTGACCCTGTATGTCTGGAACATCAGTGGCTGCCATGTAGTTAGCTTTCTTTTGTGGTTTCTTTCATTACACTGAATCACTATTTTCATTATTCAGCTGGGAATACCTTTTGACTTGGTTCCAAAGTTGTTTTTTAAAAAACAATGTTGCCTGGGGTTTTGATATGTGGACATGTGCTGATGTTAACTATGATTGGAATCATGATTGCATTGCAGAGAGATTAACTTGTACTGTTGATACTGTTTTAGCCTCAATTGTTGATGGTGTTGTTTGGTCAGATATTGAGTATCCGTACTTTGGATAGCATCAAATATTTTGTGGTGAATTTTGCTGTCTTGCCATACCGTTCATGAAGAAATTCTACTGGCTCTTGCCTATTTCTTCAGTAACCCGATGATCATTTAGTCTTTGACCTTCTTGAAGGGAGGTGGAGTAGGACAGTAATAAGCAGGATCCTTTTGGAAGTTTGGGATCGTGATATTCTTCTGGAGTTTGATATCTAGGTCAGGTATGTCTGCAGTGCTTCAGGCATTGTTGATATTTGAGCAGTGAACACAACATTCAGATGCAGATAAAAACCTCTTAATTACAGGTAAATTGTTTCAAAACTGCATCACAATCTGAACCCGCGGTACATTTTATTGACTGTGCATAGCAGTTTGAAATATAGTATAAATTGGCTGGTGGTTTGGAGGCCCTACATTTTGGTCTGCATGTATGCACAGCTGTTCATTTTAATGAATGCAAGTGTTATGGCACAGAAGGAGGCGATTGGCCCATTGTATTTGCATTGGTTCTTCAAATGAGCATCATTCCTAGTGTCAGTCTCCTACTTTTCCCTATATTCTTGCACGTTATTTCTACTCAAATAACTGTTCAATGCCTCCATTGAACCTGCCTCCACAACACTTCCAGGCAGTGCATTCCATACCCTAACTAATCACTGTCGAAAAGATTTTATTGCAGATCACTTTAAATCCATACCGTCTCATTCTTGTTCATTTTATGAATAAGTTTTTTATTCACTCTAACAAGTATGCTCAAGATTTTGAAAGCCTGTATCAGACCACCTGTTGGCTGTCTTCCCTCCAAAGACAGCCATCCCAACTTCTTCAATCAGTCCTCATCGCTGGAACCATTCTTGTAGATCACTTCTGCCCTGTCTCCAATGTGTTCACATCTTTTCTATGTGGCACCCAGAACTGCATGCAATAGTTTCCAAGAAAACCTTCTAAAACCTAAATCAATTGGTCATATTAGCTAGGAAACGTGGCATGAGTAGCAAATTTGTGCAGTCTGAGCTGAAACTCCGGATATATTCACTTCATGGTATGATGTACTTTGCAAGCATGTTGTGTAGAGTGCACTGAAATTATGATTGCAAGTGCCCTATCTGCCTGTTAAGCCTGAAATGTACATTTGTATTCATTATTAAATATAAAATAAAATTATTTCCTTTACTCCCTTATTAATGTGCCTTTTTTATGTACGATTCAAATGTAGGAACTCCAAATTACCAGCTAATTTCTACTATATTCCAAATTGTTATGTACAGTCAATAGAATGTACTCCGAGAATTCACATTACACCTATTAAAACATGTTTATAATATTTATTTGAATCCTGAAATTGAATATGGTCTATACACTTAATGAATACGTTGTAGGAAGATGCATGTTTCAAGAACACTGCCTGTGTGGTTGAGATGGGGTAGAGGGCATTCAGGTGAGTTCTTTGCTTTATCATAAAAACTGAAAGAACTGTGGATGCTGTGAATCGGGAACAAAAATAGAAGTTGCTGGAAAAGCTCAGCAGTTCTGAGGAAGGGTCACCAGGCCTGAAATGTTAATTGATTTTTTTTTTTTTTTTTTTGTTTTATCATTTATTTGTGTGTCCATATTCAATTCAAAACTCTCCAGGATGTGTTGCCATATATATTAATAACCTTAATCTATTGATTTTTAGATTTACAACCATTTATACCTCCTGAAAAATGATTTATTCTTCATATTGTCTTCATTGAAATCTAGTATAGTAATGTTATATTCAAGCAAACATTTTTACCATCTTATACTTTATCCATGCTGTATGTTCAAAAAATTACTTTTTTTTTTAACTACTTGTAGGGATTTTATGGACCCAACAATGGACAACACAAAACACATTTTAAATTACCTTATGCCAATAATAGAGAAAGTAAATCCAGAAGTACATGACTTCATGCAAAGGTGAGAATGGAATTATTGGTTCACTACTTCTCTGTCGTGGTTCAAAATATGTTTCTCTAGAGAAAATCCTGCACTTTTTTATTTCCTAGCAAATCAGTAATTTTCAGAAACCCAAAATCTCTTGTTTCTGTAGGGTTTGGCAATCTCTGTTTATAACACTTTGCCTTTGACTCAGTTTCTGTTCCTAAACCAGGAATATACAATCAAGACCATTCGATTGAACAAAGCTCCCTAATGGTCCAGGTGCCCATCCAGACTGCAGCCCATGTGCAAAGGGCTCATTGTTCAAGAAATTTAAAGGCTTTAAGTTGAGAGGATTTGAACTGGGATTCCGCTGGTTGGAAAACACCCCACCAGTAGACCCAATATTGAACATCTAGTTTACTAGACTACTCAACTAATGAAAAATTACTAAAAATTAAAATGTAGAAACAATGTTTATTGAACCAGAGGCTTGGAAGCCCTGATGTAATTTCGTTGCTTTTCACTTTTGTACCTTGACAATGTTATATCTTCCCTTCTGGGCAAAAAAAAGACTAATAATCCCCCATAACAAAAGTCTAAATGTGTAGAGATTCTCATTCAGGCTTTCCTGAGGTTGAAGGACTACTTAGTTCTTTTTTGCAACTTTGAAATGTAACGTTTTTATTTTACAGTATAGTAACTTATGAGGGGAAACATGGCAGCCAATTCTGCCTGCAGCAAGATGCTACCAATACCTATGTAATGCAACATGATTGAAGTGGCTAGTTCATCATTAACTATCGTATATTGGCAATGAGCATCTCTAAATATTGTGTACTTGTATTGATTTTTTTTTTCCCCTGCTCCTTTGCATTCGTAGAGCGGACGTTGGTACTATCTTCGCTTTGAGTTGGCTCATAACTTGGTTTGGTCACGTGCTTTCAGACTTCCGGCATGTGGTTCGGTTATATGACTTCTTCCTGGCATGTCATCCACTAATGCCTATTTATTTTGCTGCCGTGGTAGGTGAATTGTCTGTTTTCGGTGTGCTTTTAAAGTGTCTGTCCCAGACCCCACTTCTGCCTTCCATTCCATTTACCCGATGACAGAAAGCATTGTAGTTTCCACCATTAAACTGATCTATTTAGATTCCATTACATACGAGATTCTATTGCCCTCATTCGGATTTGTTTCCCTTTGTTTATAGATTGTGCTGTACCGGGGAAATGAGGTCCTGGAGAGTGAATGTGACATGGCTGCTGTTCACCATCTGCTTTCCCAGATCCCACAGGATTTGCCATATGAGACCCTAATAAGCCGTGCTGGAGACCTTTTTGTCCAGTTTCCTCCATCTGAGCTTTCCAGGGAGGTTGCCCAGAAAGAGAGGTAGGCCATACTTGAAGTTCACACTTCTAACTGGTTCCAAAGGATTGCAAAACCCTAAAGCAGTTATGATTCTTTTAATTTACCAGTTTCCTTCCTGTACTTCATTCTGGCTTCATGTAGAGTTTCATTTTAAAATGTACTTTTAATGAACTGCAGACCTACTAGTGTATTAGTCTGTATGAAATTTTGCTGTCCTACCTAAGAAATGCTGGTTTGACTTTGTATGCCACACAATTGGAATAACACTGTTTCCAATAGTATCGAAAGATTTTGTTCTTTTAGAAAAAGTGTTCTTGAGTCTTGTTCAGTGAGTCATGTGAGGGTGTAATGGAATCTGGATAGCTGAGAGGAATTATGTAATTGAGGACTCTTGGTGACTCACTGCCTTTACCTGCCATGGCAAATGGTAGAATTTGAATTCAACAAATATCTGGAATTAAGAGTCTAATGATGACCATGAATCCATTGTCGATTGTTGGAAAAATCCATCTGGTTCACTAATGTCCCTTAGGGAAGGAAACTGCTGTCCTTACCTGGTCTGGCCTACATGTGACTCCAGACCCACAGCAATGCAGTTGATCTTAAGCGCCCTCTGGGCAATTAGGGATGGACAATAAATGCTACCTAGCCAGTGATGCCCTCATCCCGTGAATGCATAAAGAAAAGAAAAGGCACTTTTTTTTTTTGTACAAGGGCCCTGTATATATGTAGATTTCTCTCCCAATCATACTCCACACTCCAAGTTCAACCAGTGATCTCCAGTGTAACTGTTAGCACAGTCAGATTATTTAATGAATGGCTTCCAGTAGCAGAATCACTTTTAAAGGCGGGCTTGCAGTGTGATCATAGAATCATAGAATCCCTACAGTGTGGAAACAGGACCTTCGGCCCAACAAGTCCACACCGAACCTTGCAGCATCCCACCCAGACCCATCCCCCTATAACCCACACACCCCTGAACACTACGGGCAATTTAGCATAGCCGATCCACCTAGTCGGCACATCTTTGGACCGTGGGAGGAAACCGGAGCACCTGGAGGAAACCCACGCAGACACGGGGAGAGCGTGCAAACTCCACACAGACAGTCGCCCGAGGCTGGAATCGAACCTGTGAGGCTGCAGTGCTAACCACTGAGCCACCATGCCGCCCTCTAACAAAGGCTGACCCAATCAGCGAGCTCGTATTATGCCGAAACCCGGGATTGAACCAGGGACCTTTAGATCTTCAGTCTAACGCTCTCCCAACTGAGCTATTTCGGCTGATCATGATAGAAGCTGGATATATAAAGACACAACTTGTTTTGTGTAGGCAAAAGGAATTGGTGTGTAGATTCAGAAATAACAGTGTGGAGCTGGAGGAGCGGAGCAGGAAAGTTGACGTTTCGGATCGGGACCTTTTCTGGCCTGCTGTGCTCTTCCAGCTCTACACTGTGTTATCTCTGACTCCAGCATCAGTATGCTATCTCTGGTATGTAGATTCCACTCCTTTCAAAATAAAGGAGTCGTGGAGACAGACCATCCCCACGGCAATACCCTGACTAGTCATTGTATATACCTACCTGGTCTGAGAATTAAGATTGATGGGCATCTGTTCTTGTACTATTTCCATGCCAATGATGGCCCAACCAATCAGTGTCCACTTTTAATTCTGTATAAAAAGCTATTTTATTAATTCAAATCTGTTCCTTGCATCCTAGTTTTGATGAGTGCAAGATGAGAAGCTTCAATTTCTCGTCATCTTTTAGCAAAGTTTAAGCTCCATTCTATCAACCATTTACTTTCGTAAACCTGTGTTCCTGTCTCAATGTATTTTTGAAAGTGAAAATGATGATGTCTAAATCCCAAAAGGAGTTGAGTAGGCTAAATTAAGGAAAAGTTTTAGCAGAAGTCATGTAACGTTTGGAGTTCTGGGCAGCACACTTTAGGAAAGATATATAGGCCTTTTGAGACAGTGGAGGATACACTTACTAGAAGGATATCTGGATCCCAAGGATTAAGCTGTGAGGAAATAGTCATGGTGTCATACAACACGGAAACAGACCCTTCGGTCCAGTTTGTCCACGCCGACCAGGTTTCCCAAACTAAACTAGTCTCGCTTACCTGCATTTGGTCCATATCCTGCTAAACCTTTCCTATACGTGTACCTATCCAAATGTCTGATAGTCATACAGCACGGAAACAGACCTTCCAGTCCAATTTGTCCAAAATATTGAGGATTTTTTTTACCCTGGAAGTTAGAAAGCTAAAAGATGATATGATTGAAGTATTGAAATTATTCAAAGGTTGGGCAGGCTGGGAGAAACTCTTCCTGCAAGTTGGAGTTATGGACTAAAGCCTAGGCTAAAAACTAGAGCCATACACTTTGGAACTAAGATTAGGAAATATTTCTACAGTTGTGTAATATTGCTGATAAATACATGTTGTCATTGTTTTTCATCTTGCACTCTCCGTCAGGCCAATTTACAAGAATACCTATTCAAGGGGAAAATTAGCATTTATAGTGAGACGAGAGTGCTGATTGGTTGGCTTTATTGGTTGAGGTTTTGCCAATGGAGAATATACCTATTAATGCTGTTTGCCTGTTAACTGCCAGGCTTTGTTTAAATTTTAAAATGAGCAGTGTGACTCTGATCATGGCATTGCCGTGAGAAATGAACCAGCAAATGGCTATCACTTTTTTTAAAAAAAAACTGAAAGAACTGCGGATGCTGTAAATCGGGAACAAAAACAGAAGTTGCTGAAAAAGCTCAGCAGGCCTATCAGCATCTCTGAAGAAAAGAAAAATCAGTTAACGTCTCGAGTCCGGTGACCCTTCCTCCAAACAGCTGTCCCCAGAATGGCTGTCACTTATTTTGTTGAGTTGAAATGGGCTAGTGCATGTACATGCTCTTTCTGTTTGCAAAGAACCAGGGCCCTGTGTATTCATTTATGTAGCCTCCAGGATACATGTATAACTCTCTGAACCTAACTGACAATTCCAAATTGGTGTATTAATACACAGATGCCTGCTCTTTGAAATGCCATTTGGCAAATTAAAACATGCTTAAGGTAGTGGTCAGGGAAGTATAAAAGAGATTAACATCGCTGTGTAGTTTTATCTTCTCTTTCACCTACTGATTTGCAAAATGATTCCTAGTAGCCTTTATAAAGATTGGTGTGCTCTGTATGCTACTAGTGCAGTCCTGTGTCCACTGCACCACATGAGGCTTAAATAGAATTTTATATGTTTTGACCTCTAGTGAATCCGTTCAGCTTGGAATGTTTATAAATCAGTCATTCTGTTTCAAACTTTCTGTTGTGAGACATGTATTGAGTGAATTAGATTGTAGTTAACTTATTCTCCACTCTCCTTAAGATAAGCTTCTAGTGTAATGAGTGACTGTTGCACCTAGAGTTCTTTCTGTTCTGACTGTCCCTTGTTGATGTGTGATACGAGTGTCTGTACGTCTTGAGATAGTCAATGCAGCTGTCCCTTTTCCTCTGGTTACGGATTCAAATAATTTATTGAAACATCTCTCCTGATGTAAAATTATAGTACACAGAATATTAGACAATCATGACTTATTTTGAATAAGATTATGGTGCTGATCTGAAAGTTAAGTGTAACCTATTATGTATTTGTCAGATGATACTGTAGTGTAGATTGAAAAGGATTAAGTGTACATTCCCAAACTCAAAATAGCAATCATCAGAACAAACAATAATGCTGCAGTTGTCTTCATTAGTATATTCAGCACACTCAGTACTACAAGTTCTCTGTATTTTGGCGTTTATCTTGTGCAGAAGGCAAATTTATTTAGTGAAAATTCAGAAAAATGCAATGTTTTAAATTATTCCAGCAGATGATTATTCAACTTTGGTATTTTCGGATCAAGGAGAAAAGGAATTCAGTATTCACAGATCCTATATCACTGGGTTAGGTTTCCTTTTTCAATTTTGTCATGTGTGGACCAGCATTTTTGTGCAGCTCCTGCAGTTGAGTAAGGTTACAATCTTCAGTTACCATGTGCTTCAGAGGTAGAAACTAAATATTGTAGCACCTTTCAATTCAGCGGTTAAACTTAGTCTTACCCAACAACATAATTTATTCTCTCCTACTTCCTCCCATTGTCAAAGATAATCCAGTATGACATACAACACTGCCCAATCAGGGAAAGTTTGCATGTCCACAGTTCTTCCTTATGTTGCTGTTAAGGTACTAGTTTCATTAATCCTATTTTCAGTTCAAGTGATTAAAACATACCCTTCAACGACAACATTAGAATTAGAGCAAGAGTAGACAGTATAGCCCATTGTGAGCCTACTCTGCTATTCTATTCATGTCTGAGACCACAAATTGAACCATTTTGGGGAATTGAGTGCCAGTTGCTAGTTGTGCATCAGTGGAAACTCCACCCTTTTCTTATAATCTCTGTATTCTAACCGTAGTATTTTAATACCTTCTGATGCTGTTTGGAAAGCATTTTTTTTTAGTTTTGTTCTCCTACTTGTCCAAAATGTATAATGCTGACTGACAGAAGTTTTAAATGTCAATGTGGCATCTTTATCAATCCAAGAAGCTAGCAGTAACTTCCCTTAATCCTAAACTACGGAACACAAATATTTAAGATGCCACTGGCTTAATTTAGTGTAATAAACTGATTGATTATGTAATTTGTTATGGAGGCAACTGAGACAGTATAATTGATAAATTCCACTGACTGATGAAATAGTTCAGATTTGTGCAAAGGGATCTGCAACTTTTGTTAGAATATTGTACCAATTTATTTTAATATAGAGGAATGGCACTATGACGAAACTCTACAACAGCTTTTATTGATATCTTCTTTTCCTTGCAGGTTATGTTCAGAGGTAGAAAGCACCCCAGTGTAGCATGGTCCTAAATTCCCCAGTAAATAATATTGCACACATCAGATAAGCTAGCAGAGACAGAGCCTTTCCATCAGATATATCTTTATCCGAAAGGAAAATCTATCTGTGGTGTAATAGGGCTGCTAGCAGACTGGATACAACAATTGGGCTCCCTAACTCCATGCATCTACCGTTCTGGTGGCACAGTTTAGATCACAACCTTAGCTTTGCTATCCGGATCCAATCTCCAAAGCTAAAGTGAGGAGCCATGGGCTATAATCTGAACAGGAAGTGCTTTTCCATTTACCTGGTGCTTTATGTGACCGAATTAAGTGACAGGCAGAAAAGGCAACTGTGTTTACATTGTAACGGCAAACAGAGAAAGGGAAAGCTAAAGGTAAGCTTTATTTTCAATTAGTGAACCATTTTTCAGGTCAGATACTCTTTTTGATGTTGTATCACAAAAAAGTAGAAAGGAGGCCAAATTGGATTAAAGCACAACCTTTATATAAAATACTCTTACTTTTTTTTTCTGGTACAATGCCTGCCCCTCTTGTTGCAAATTTAGTCTTTGTTAGGCAACTACTTATTGGGGGTTTAAAAAGAAACACAGTTAAGCAGAGTGGCTTTCTCTATGCATTCTGATAATTAAGTTTGGTTAATCTCCTATGCAACTCCTACTGAAATTGTACCAGTATGAGGGACCTCAGTTAAGTGGAGAGATCAGAGCAGATAAAATTGGCAAATTATATTGCAGTTAACAACTTGGGTTTGTGGTGATAGGCAAAAGTTGGGTTGATGGGCAGTCTCTAATTAATGGGATGTGATTTGGAATGTTTTGCAAGAATCTGTTTTGGGCCTTACCATAATTAACAACAACTTGACTGATATTGAAATTTGCCAATTGTACAACAATAAGCAATGTTGTAAATAGTGCAGATGGAAGCATAAAATTATAGGGGGTACTAATAGATTAAGTGAATGAACAAAGCAAATGGAATTCCACAACCTAAAAAGGATAGAAAAGAATTGTAATTTTTAAATGGTGAAACGCAAGGACAAAGGGACCATGGGACTCCAGGTGCGTGAATCATTATTTCTGTGCCAGTTAAGTGGCATTTTAATCAAATCATCTAATGACATGTTGGCCTTTAGACCTAGAGGATGGGAATGCAAGGTTAGGTAGAAATTATGCTTTAGCTCTACAGAAGGCAATGTCTCTTCCTCTGAGCCAAAAGTTCTAGGGTATAGTCCCTTTCCAGGATTTGTTATCCATGGAAGGAGGATTCATAATGTAGTTCAACGGGTTGGTAATCAGCCTGCTAATCCTTCCAACATTTCCCACTGTATCGCAAAGGAATAACAGTTTGCACAATCGTACAAAATAAAATAGCTATTCGGAGTCTTTAATGGATGATAAGCCTACATAAATTACGAGAGTGGTTACACAAATTACTGTATTCTCTGAAATTTAGAGGTTTGAGATGACTTATCAAAATTGTCAAGATAATAGAGAGCACATTGGGTTGTCTGGCTGAAACTATTACCCCTGGTAGGACATTGTCTACAAATTTAGAGCCAGACATTTCAGAAATGAAATGAGGAAGCATGCAGGTTATCAAATTTTAGATTTAGATTTTACTGTCATGTGGACTCAAGAAAATTTGACTGTAGGGCTAGATCAATTGATAATTCTGTACCTGAGATTGATGGATTTTTGTTGCCCAAAGTTGCTGAGGGATATAAGATAAAGTCTGGTATAATTAGTAGACTCCCAAGTCAGCCATGATCTCAATAACTGGCAAATGAACTCAGAACTAATTGACTTACTGTAGGTTTCTGTTATTTTTAACATAGGACAAGTTAGAGCATGATTCTTAAATTCTGCCTTAACCTGTTAAGAACATAATACTTAATATTTTGGGATTTGATGAGTGCATGGGAGAAACTCCTGCTAGCAGAAGGATCAGTACTCAGATAAAATTGATTATATGTAAGTGTCGAAGGAGTTGGGGGGGAGATAATTAATTTTTTTCAGTGAGTTGTTATCTGGAAAGTTGGTGGAGAACATTCAAATGAGAATTTGTTGAATACTTGAAAAGGAAAACCATTGCAGAACAATGGGGAAAGAGTTTAGCAGCAAACTAATCGGATAGCTATTTAAAGAACTGGCACAAACAACATGGGTGTCCTTCTGTACTGTGACTTTATGAACCTCCTTCCCCATGTGCTTGAAAATAAACAACATTTCAGTAAATTTGAGAGATGTACACCTTGGCTCGGAAGAAGCAGCCTCTGATTTGGAAGAGTAACTCCTTTCAGAGTTCTGCGTTGCATAGGGAAAACCTTTTCCGATTGGTCATCCCATCTTAATTTTTCTGATGATTTGGAGCCTTCAAGTTTGAATTTTCACTATGCTGCATAATTTTTGAGTGTTGAATCCAATAGTTTGCTATTTCATAATACCATGTAAAATGAATCAAATTGGCTGAAGGTTGGTACTGTATCTCTGATATTGGGGGCCTCAGGAAGACGCTGAGTTGTATCATCAAGTTCTGGCTGCAGTTGTTTGCAAATGTTTCAGCCTTGTCTTTTTGCACTGATGTGCTGGGCTCCCCCATCCTTGTAGATAGCGATATTTGGTTATGGGATTTCTTGACCCTGTCTGTTGCATGCTGTTTCCACTGTTTGGCATGAAAGCAGTCCTGTATTGTAGTTTCATCAAGCTGAGTGTAAGATAAAAAGCTTTCACAAAATCTGTTTTTTTTTCAGCAATACTCCAAATTCTACACTACAAAAGAACTAATTATAGAATGTTTCCAGTGAATGGATCATTTGGCCCAGCATGTCCATGCCAGTTCTCTAGAAGAGCAACTGACCTAGTCCCACTGTCCTGTGTTTTCCTCATAATCTCAATCTCCATTTTTTTCTTTTTGCTTCATAATTATCCAAATTTCTTTGAACACCATGCTTGGGACTGCCATCTCCACACTTGGAGACAGAGCATTCAGATCCTAATCGTGTTAAGGAGAAAAAGCTTTCACCCATGTCACCATTGCTTCTTTTGTTTCTTGCTTTAAATTGGTCCCTCTGGTTCTTGAATAGTTCTAGTGGTCTCTTTAAATGGCACAGCTTGGTGTATGTTATCTATACTGAATAAGTCATTTTAACACTCACATGTCAAATGCATATAAATCCAAGGGCTATTCTTCAGAATGAAATAGAAATGTGACTTTAAGCTGAATTTAATCCAGGAGTTGAATTCTTAACTAGAGTCTTTATAAATTCTGCAAAATGATGGATCTTCACTTAAAAATGTATAATCTTCAAAGATTTAACATTTTAAGCTTCATTATCTTCAAGCAGTTGCTATAATTTGTTATTTAAATGGATTTCCATTGAAGTCACTTCAAATTATGGCCTTGTTCTAAATATGCTCAGCAAGTGGCATTATCTAGCCTAGCAGGACATGTACAATGAAAGGAGTAACATAATTATTTTGCAGAAATGTGTAGATTGAGTGAGGTTTTTTTATTTGTTCATTTTCTCCTCTTCCCTGAAAGTTTTGACTTGCTAAGACATAGTTCCACAAGTGTTGTTTATCCTTCAGAAACTGATTGTGTTCATTTAGTAAACTCCTTGACCATGACTAATTGTAATCAATTGACTTGGCTCCATGCATTTCCAACACAGCTACTGGACAACATCAAGGCCAGGAAATTTGGGTGTTTTCCTTTCTGCACCACTTAACTGGGTCTACCTGTAATTCATTAATGCAGCACAAACCAAGAATTAAACCTCTGACCTTCAATATTAAATGTTGATTTTGTTGCCTTGGTTAAGTGTTGGTTTGAGAATTTATTTTTCCCACTCATGAATTACCTAATTGAAACATTTTGCCTTTCTACCCACAGCACCGCTGTCTCAACTTTCAAGGATTTTGAACTGGTGTCAGCCCAGCAGCGTCCTGATGCAGTACTCCGGAGGAGGTTCAGAGAACGGCTCCAACAAGAACCAAGAGCAAGAACGATTGTGGCAATAACGGGGACCAGGAGGTTGATAAAACTGGCAGTGATGGGGCTGACTGTGGCCTTGGGGGCAGCAGCCTATGCAGTGGTCAATACTGCGCTGGAGTGGGCACCAAAGTTTGAACTACAACTGTTTCCTTGAAGGAAGAACATTTTTAGCCACTTTACAAATCACCAACTACATAATGGGGCTGGGGCACAGTACTTTTCTTTGTCATTGTCTTTTATTTTTAATTTAAAATGTGTCATTAAAGACTGCAAGCTGGATAGTGTATATACTCCGTTAAAGGTAAGATTGGGTTGAGCACAAGTTTTTTTGACTGCTATTTTGTGAATTATTAGCACCAAACAAAGCTACAATATATTGCAGAATGTCCATTTTGTTATCAGTTTTCAAAACAAAAGCCTAGGGAAATGACCAATTTAGAAATATGTTGAGTTCCCACATGATCAGTTGCCAACCTCACCTATATATCTAGGCAAGAAGTGAATGTATTTTGATTGAAAAATTGGGAAGGTCAACTGGCCAAAGTTTTAGTTTCCTAGAAAGGTCATCACAGAGCTATTTGGGGCTTGGCAGAATTAACTTGTCTGCTCTCTCAAATAGAAAATTCATGCTGAACCAATTAAACAGTCTATTTCATTTGTGATAGTTGGCAATATTGTCCTGTTGGTTTTTTTTAACCTAATTTTGGGACGGTTGTGTTGTTATACAGCTTGCTGAACCCTCCTTTTCTAGAAGATCAGGCCCTAATCCCAGTTAAATGACAGCAGACAAAGCTCCATCTCCAGGGTTGATGAAAACATAAGGTTAGATATTCTCCTTGCATAATTGGCAAGGGATCATGTGGTGGTAAATATGGCTGATTTCATTCCCGATTTCCATGAATTAGCTAATTCCAGTTAGACTGACAGCAGTGGAGTAGTACTGTTAGCTACTTGAGAATCTGGACTGCAGTTCCTGCTGCACAACACTGTGCAATGATGACTGCTGAAAAATGTGGCGTTGAAATTGGAAAGAATCAGGCTTAGCTGAGCTACCTTCTCTTACTTGAATGGAATACTAACATTCACCAATTAATAAAGAATGATCACTTTGGTTATTGCCTCTGTGTTGCACTGCAGCAAGAACCAACATCTTGCAAAATAGTTTATTTTATTTTAAGTAGCTTATCCCTTTGTAGAATCAAATCACAGAATGAGAGCTCCAATCTGAAACTTAGCTCCACCATTTTGAAGTGTAGCAAATAGAAGTATTTTCGTCCAATCGGGGAGCAGTGCAAGGTTTTGGGTTTCAGCCATTGTATGGACAAGACCTCCTCAACAAAAATGACACATGTACAGGCTGATAGGCCAAGTGTTTTATTAATGCACTTTAGCTACAAACAGCTTATCAGAAATGTTTTAACTTGTTATATATTGCATCCTTAATATTGGTGTGTCAATCACACTAACCTCAGTACAAGGCTTCTTACTTTGTAAAGCTAACCCTTCTCAGGCTATACGGCTTGAGACTCTGGTATGAAGAAATAATATCTTGATGTACTGTTAGCCTTGATATGCAATACACAAATCTTTAAACTTGATGCCTGTTTTTCTCGGTTACAAGATTTATTTATAGTCTTGTAAAGCACCCAATAACTAGTAGAACTGACATTTGTGCTTTGTTACTTTTTTAATTCCTTTTCGTGTTTTCTTCCTGCTCTTCCCATCGCTGCACATATGGCACCTTTTGATGGGAGCCTCAGAGATGTGGATCTTGACGTTCTCATTAGGAGCGAGTGACTGTGTTATGAGTTGCTTTTTCCTTCAAATGCTGGTCATTCCTGAGTTCCTTGACCAAGAAGGGCAGCTGGGAGGAACCTGTTTGCTGTTATTCGATGAATAAATGAGAAACCAGTAAGCCATGATGCTAGTGTAACTTTTACATTGGTAGCCCTCTCTTTCTGGTCCTTGATTTCGCAATGGAGAGCAAAATTCACGGTTAATAATTTAGTACAATGTTTTGTTGGGTCAGTGTTCACTTGGTTTCCAGATGTATTCTGAATTGGATTACTGTTGTAATTAATTATTGTTTTGGATTGTGATTAGTCTACGCCAATTCAAGAAAAGATTGCCACTACTGAAGAATTTCTTAACTGTGTTTAAATTGTAAATTTTCCAAATAGAAAAGGCCACTAGGTGAATAGGTGTGTCCCTTTTTTACATAAATCAATCAGTTGACTTAAGCTCTTGATCCCTTCACCCTGATGGTTAAATCAATTTCTCTCACTCGCACCCTCGCCCACCCTTGTGGTATGCTCTCGCTCTCGTGCTCTCGTGCTCTCGCTTCCCCCCCCATCCCACATGCCTGCGCTCCCCCTGCACTCTCTGATTTTTGGAACTGCTTTGTACCAAAATAGATACATAGTACCTCAGGATGTTTAATTTTTGACCATATCTAATGAAGCAATCCAATGTGACAGTTTAGTTAACAGTAGTATTGTAGGCTAGGGTATAATGAACTTCTTTGGTTGCGAAAACAAATTGCAAGAGAAACTCAGTAGGTTTGGCAGCATCTGTGAAGAGCGACCTGAGTTAACCTTCTGGGTTTAAACATTAACTTGGCTTTCTCTTCACATATGTTGCCAGACCTGCCGAGTTTCTCCAGGAATGTGTGTTTTTGTTTTAGATTTCCAGAATCTGCTGTCTTTTTTTTTCTTTCTTTTTGTTGTGTTCTTTAATGGATTACTATTTTCTGAAAACGTAATGTCATCTTCTAAATCTCCAGTTATCTCTTAAATCTGATGTCATTTCTCACAGAATCAAATATTAAACTGCTTCCACAGTTAGCTATTTGCATTGAAATAAAGGTGATTTCAGTCCCAATAAGTGCTGGGTGAGCAGATTCCTGCCAGCCCAATGGAAACCATTCTCCCTCCTTGACATTGAATAACCTTCAATGGAATGTAAATGTCAGCATTTGTTGAAGATTGTACACACTTTGATTGCGATGCTCTGATACCTAAACGCTTTGTAAACATTCATTGTAAAAAGATTATACTGGGATGGCAGGCATGAATTTTGAATGGTGCTGATGTAATTGTGTCCAAGCGAGGAATCTGCCTCTGAGGGCAGAGATGCAAGTTATTCAGAAAAAAGGAGGTATTGTCATCCCTCAGCTTGTTAATTTTATGTCTTTCTAAAACACTGAAAATATTAAGAAACAAATTAAACCAGCATATGTTCACATTCTAGACTATAAGGTGATGCTCAAAAGAATTAACTGAATTCATAACTGTGCACTTCTGAAATGTTTGTGTATTTAGTTGTAAGAATAGTCCACTTGTCATGAAATTGTTTATATTATCACTTACCACATCAAAATATCATTTTGCACTTCAAAACTAAAGTCTAGTACTTTCTTAGGCCTTGGAACAGACATTCTGCACCAGTGACATCCACTATGGAATCATTTTTGTGGCTATTGTAAGCAACGGTGACAAAAGAACAACAGTCAGGGGATCTCTGTATGATTCAGTGGAGTGGTCAAACAGATTTCATGGTTCATTATCTCATTGTCAACAATGCAGCACTTACTCTGGAGTATTAATCCTAATTGTTAGTTAAAATCTTGCTGTGGCATTCGACCCAGAATCTCTCATTTTCTTCTTAACCTGTTCAGAAATATTATGACACACCTCTGGAGCAGGTGGGACTTGATCCCAGTTCTCCTGGCCCGGAGGTGTGGACACTGCCACTGTACCACAGGAACCTCTTCCCCAGATCCTCTTTCGTCAGAATTTAAGAGCTACAGCAACATTTTCTGAGGTATGAAAGGAAGGACAGTGGTTAGGAGAGGATTTGGTGGCAACTGGATTGTGCTTTATAGAGCCATAGAATTGTGCAGATAACTGCAAGATATTTTTACTCCTGACTTTTTTTTAAATTGTGGTAATGTATCTTTATTTTTTTTAATAAATATTTTTATTTAACAGTGTGTAGTGCAATGCTGTTCAGAATGCACTGCTTCAAGTTTGGCATTGGGTTAATTGCTTGCTGTTGCAGTTTGAATTTTTAACCACTTCAGATAAAAGGGATTTGGATTTGAGTTATGTTGAAATGTTGCTTTTATGCTAAAAGTTCACAAATGTTTTGAATCCACACTAAAATGCATGATGGAGCCACTCAGACAAAGGGGATTAGAATGTTAGTGAGCTCACCTGAGAGGTAACAGCCTTCATTTTTAACCAACTTGTTCAGATATGATAACTCTGGAGCATGTGAGACTTGAAACCAGGCCTTCTGACCAAGAAGCTGGGACACTAGCACTGCACTACAGCAGCCTCTATAGCTACAGTTCGAAAGCTGTCCCTAATGACCTGGAATAAATGGAGGGAAGTTGTTGAGCATAATTCATAATTTATGGACAAGAGGGGATACAAAGTTCAGACATGATGTGAATTGTGTCACGTGCCGATTTGCAAATTATTTATGGATTTCAACCCACGAGTTGTTTCATTGAAGTATGAGTACAGTCTGCGTTCAGGAAGATTGGCCAATATCTCATAAGAACAATTGGGTGACGTTTATGGTATCCACTTCACCTGACAACACCTGAGGATGTCAATCTCATTGTGTTAGTGTTATTTATCCAGATTCCCAAGCTGTCAGCTACAATCCTGATGTTGGTGCAGAAATAGTGAATGGTGTCAGGAGAAATAAAATCACATTATTCCCTATTATTGTCCCAGCTGTGGATATTTGGCTGTAGCAGCTCTGATTAGGCATGCTATGATGCAGTTATGTCTTTTTAAAAAAAACAAACATTTCCAGAGCAGCTTGTTAGCACAGAAGCAATGGATGTGGATTTAATGACTGGTGCTAGTTTGTTCACTAATATCTTGCATTCAGCCTTTCATATTTAATACAGTTGTTTTGTGTTGTATTATGTATTGACCTATAACATAGAACATAGGAACTAGGAGCTGCTGCTCGGAACTAGGTAGGCCACCTGGCTTTCTGAGCCTGCTCCGCCACTTAATATGATCATGGATGATTCTCTAACTCAAACACATTATTCCTGTTTTCTTTCCATTCCCCTTGATACTCTGAAGATCTAAAAATTTGTCAGTTTCTTGAATATATTCAGTGATCTTAACATGTGAATGTCACTATGATGTTTTACTGCTCTTTTGTTTGGTGTTTGGGGTTTGTGCTAATTCCTGAGCGTGAAAGTGGGGTAGTGTTCTGGACCAGACCAGACCTTCCACCACTCCCCCAAATCATTGTAAGGAGATAGCCTAGACACTAACTGTTATTTATTTAACGGCAAGCATAAGGTGCTATGTTCCAGATGTGATTCAATTGGTCCCCCATTAGGCTTTAATCAAAATACACTTAAGACTTATCCTTTTTTTGCATTTTAACTACAACCTTAACTCTATTGAAAAACTTAACAAGATAATGTATTACTTAACCACTAATCATCAACTGTTCCAATATAGGCAGCATCCCACAAACACCCTTTGGCAAATGCAATTCAGCAAAACAGCTCTGGTTCTCACGTGCTGCCTCTCTCCAGTCCAGCAGAGAAAAAAAATCTGCCCCTTCGCATTTTTAGGAGGAAACTTCTCCTCTAAGATTACACTGTAGCAGCCAGGAGCTCAAGCTTTTAGCTCAGCAGCTGGCAGAAACCTTTTCACTAACTGAAAGCAAACCAATAAGCCTTCCTGGATCTGTGTGAGCCCTGACCTTGCCTATTCATGCTTCTTCTGTCTAATGTTTTAAAAAAGAACACCCAGGCATAATTTAAAGCTGTTTACCAACTGTCTGTCTGAAGCAGACTTCCTATCACCACTGTGGCAACATTTCTGCAGGAGAAACGCATGTCTCAAAAGCACATTACCATCAAAATAGTCTTGGAAAATGGTTTGACAAGTGCTGCTCGATATTGTGTATAATTAATTAAACTGGTTATAGGACTATAGACATTAACCAAGAAATCTTAGAATTTTCATAGTGATGGATCTGGGTTTTGCTTGCGTTAGAAGTTACTCTTCTTTAGGATCTTTTAGTGCTGGTTTTCTTTCTCTCTTGGGGGAGAGAGAAAGAGAGAAATGGTTTGGCTTTCAGGCTTTTGCAGTTCTGAATGCAACTGCCGTCTTTTTTTCAGTTGTGATAAACTGCAACTCAAAACAAATCCAAAAGCTGTTGCTGAGCAGTTTTGTTTCAATCCAAACTCACCAGCTGGTCTCAGAAGTATTGAGTCCAGCTTCTCTAGAGGATACTTGTTGTTGTGTAACCAATAAGTGAACACCATGCAGTTCCACTTTTTTTCCTTAGAGTTATATAAACAAAAATACAACTAATTTCATTCTCTGCAACACAACTTTGATTTTCTCCATTTATACATAATATATATTATGTTTTAAAAGAGGTCCTTTATATCAACTTTATATACTCTACCCTGAGTTTCCACACGGATTTCTTGCCACAGACTTGGATGTGGGAAACCAGTGTCACTTGCCATTTTTAACTACTTGTTCCATTTCTCTGTCAATTCTTTCAAAGGCCATCGCTATGGAAAAAGTAAAGTTTTACTTCTGTGATAGTGATTGTCAATGTAGACACAATTAAAATTGATAGGTTAAATAACAACTGAACACAACTACAATGTAAAGCCCAGTTAGAAAAGTTCCTGAATTTATAAAATTGCACTACCGTTTCCACAAATGAAGCATCTATCCTGTTATTGTATTGTGTTAATGAAACCATAGATTTCAGTACTACAGCTTAGCAGTAAATAAAGATGTTTTCCAATTAAAACTTGATATGCTATCAGGATAAAGTTTAGAAAGCAATGTTCTTTCAAAGGCAAGAAAAGTAGGATCAGAGTTTTACCAGTATTTGGAATCTGAAGAAACTGCTGGGAGCTGATTTCATAAATAACTTCTAAAGAAGAATTGAACAGGTATATGAAGATGAGAAACCAGCAAGGTTACAAATAGAACTGCTCATTGAGAGCCATCAGGGGAGCAACAGACTGAATGGCCTCCTCCTATGCATTAGGGTTCAAGGATTCTGAAGTGTAGAAGTTAAAATATATTATGGGTTACTGAGGGCTCTGTAAAAGATGTTGTTAGATATGCAGCAAAAAAATCCCCCAATTGGAACTTTTTGTCAGTGTTATAAAATCTGTTACCTCTAATTTTTAATCCACTCATCAGTGGGAATAGTTATCCATCAAGACATCTCATCAACTTAAATCATTGTTAAGTCATCTGTTAACCCCTTCTGTTGAAAGAAGACTGATCTCAACTTTTCTAACCTGAGCACATAACTGAATTTCCCTCGTATAAAATATTGCAGATTCTGGAAATAGGTCAGGTAGCAGCTGTGAAGAGAACAGAATATTAATGAAAGGTCCTTAACACTTTTCCTCTTTATAAATGCTGCCTGATCTTGACTTTATTTTAAAAAAAAATTCAATTCTCCCTTCCTCATTAAGATAAACATCTTCTGCACCCTTTCTATGACTTTTATATTTCTGCTAAAGTGTGATTCACAGAATTATCTATCTCACTCTACCTAAACCAATAATTCATTAAAGTTGTAAACTCGCTTTTATATCTCATCACTTTGTCAAGCCAAGTAACCAAATGTTTATTTTAGCCAACTAATGCATTGTGTCACAGTGTATCTATATTTACTTAAAAAATAAGGAAGTAATTTACAGGAACCACCAGTATATACCATTGAATCAGACCAAAGGAATCCAGAATGATGAATTTTGTGACTCCAGCTGTACAAAACCAATGTGAATTCTTTCATTGGTCCCTTGCTGCTTTTCAAAGCTTAGATTTGAGACCCACTTGCTCCAAAGGTGTATCATGTCAACCCTAGACAAGTTGATTAAAAGTACCTAAAATCCTTCACCGAGACCTAGCCACAACTTCATGCTGATGTACTGGCTCCTCACTTGGAAAACTTTTGAGCCATAGATAATGCACCTATTGTTTAAGCTCTTGTTAAAGATCTTGAGTCACAGTCTCCACAGATGCATCCTTCTATTGCTGATGTGTGTATTAAGTTTCTGTAAATTCCTTGATCAGTGTAACTGATGAGTTGTTATTTGAATATCAAACCCCTTGTTTCGTTCATATCAAGCCAAAATAGGAACCTGGGAACCTCTGACTTGATCCTAGACCTTACTGAGCAATGCACAGTTGCTTCTGATCTGGACCATTTGCTGCTATATCATTTAGTTAAGATGAATTTCCAGATGGAAGGAAAGCATAATGATTCATCCAGTTTGTATGAAATCTCAGATGCTAACAACTGGAAGTGATGCTGTGCACAGTTTCCTGCTCAGACCATCTTTTCTCTTTGACACAATATTTTCAGACCAGTCTTTGGTGTTTTAACTGCATTTTGTCAGGCTACTTGGGGGATATTGTTTGGTGACTTAAGAGTTGGGAAAACATACTGTTAACGGTCTTGACAGGTTCATACATTTCAATGAAATTGTCTCTTATTCTTCTAAATTCTAGGATTTACTTGATTCATTCAGCATAGGCAATCTTCTCATCCTGATGATCAATCTAGTGAATTTTCTTGTGCTCCTTAGAGAGATATATCCTTCCTTTGGGCAAAGCTCCACACAGCTCTAAGCTACCTCAGTAAATTTCAGTATTACAGAACAATGGTTTTGTAGTCAAGCGCAGGATGGGGAAACTGGGGCAAGTCAGGCTGCATCTGTGGAGAGACAGTTAATATTTCAGTTCTAATATTACTCTTTTTGTAATTTAAATTCTGAAGAGGTCAAATTCAAATTAACATTAGCTCCATTGTATTTCAGAGCTCGAGCTCTAGCTCCCTACACTACTTTTATTGGACGCAGGATAAGGATTTGGAGCATTTTGAAGGGTTGCGAGAAGTCCTTTTTATTTTTTTTTAAAAAGAAATGTGTTGTCATCCAGGGTGAGTGAGGTGGGTGGGGTGGGGGGGAATTTGTGCACTGTGTTTTACAGAGTCCGAATCATACCGCATTGGAAACAAACCCTTTGGTCTAACTTGTCCATGCTGACCAAGTTTCCCAAACTGAACAAGTACCACTTGTCTGTTTGGCCCATAATTCTCAACCTTTCATATTCAAGTACCTGTCCAAATGTATTTTAGATGTTGTAACTATACCTGCATCCACCACTTCCTCATTCCACGTATGAACCACTCTCTGAGAAAAAGTTGTTCCTCAGGTCCCTTTTAAATCCTTTTCCTCTCACCTTAAAAATATGCCCTCAAGTTTTGAACTCACCTACTCTTGGGGGGTGGAAATCCTTTACAATTTGCCTTGTCTATACCCTTCTGCTTTTATAGACCTCTATAAGGACACCTTCAACCTCCTACGCTCTAGTGGGGGAAAAAAGATCCCAGCCTCTCCTCATAACACAAACCCTCCTGGTAAATCTTTACTGTACCTTCTCCAATTTATTAATATTCTTCCTATAGCAGGGCAACTAGAACTATACACTTTTAGCTTGCCTATCCCCCTTTTGACCTTTTTTGATGCTGTCTTCTGCAGTCCTGGGAGCCAGAGTTGATAATATCTAACAAAGCTAGAAAAGCTGCACAGAAGTTTCTTTGTTGTTCAGTATTGCTTTTATATCAATGCGTTTACTAGTAATCATACAAATAAACCACTCACCTACCCTGTCTATATCTTATGCTGTAAGCTAGAGTCAAATTGAAGGTACAACAACAGATTTAAATCATTTCAAGAAAATTTTAGTCCTTTATTTCATATTCGTATATACATATAGTAACTGTCCATTTGTTTAAATCTCTAGTATCTGCTCACATATCTTCACTGCTGCTACTATACCAGACGGAGTAGGATCCTTCCAAATAAAGTTACACCAGGAGATCATTTATGATATTACAAGCAATGTATTCCAGCTGCCTAGTAACAATCTTAGAAATGTATTGTGCTTTGAGGAAGTGGATATATTTCAGAATTCTCAACAACATTCAACCATTTGCCTGTTTTACCTTCATGAGAGGAACTCGGAAAGCCAAGCGAAACACCACCTGTACAATGTTTTCAGTGTGTTCCCTGGCTCTTCTGTCAGGCTTGCAGTGGGATGGGAGGGCAATCACTGCTTTTGTCCACAGTAAAGGAGGTTTGTTTTTCATGAAAAACAATCATGCTCAGGTACGTGCTAAATATCAGCTTCGAACTCTCCCTTTGTCTGAGATTCATGACTGAATCCCTATAGTGTGGAAGCAGGTCATTAAGCCCATTGAGTCCACACCAACCCTCTGAAGGGCATCCCTCCCACTTCCCACCCTAACCCTGTAACCCTACATTTACCATGGCTAATCTACCTAGTCTGTACATCCCTGGACACTGGGCAATTTAGCATGGCCAATTCACCTAACATGCACATCTCTGGACTGTGGGAGAAAACCTGCGCAGACACTGAGAACATGCAAACTCCATACAGATAGTCACCCAAGGCTGGAATTGAACCCAGGTCTCTGGCACTGTGAGGTAGCAGTACTAATCACTGAGCCACCATGCCACCCAAAATTGCATAGCTCAGTAGAAAGAACTGGGTGCTGCTAAAGCACACGTTGATTCAGTTCATAAAATATTCTCTCAGCTTGTGCAAGATCAAAAACTGAGGAATGAGCTGACCTGTCTTCTTCTTATTGACTTTATACATTCATTGCTAGACTGTAATTTTAATTTATTAATCAATCTTTAAATGTCTAAACAAGGCTAAATGGTTAAGGACATGCTTTATTGCAAACTGATGTCTGGTGCAGATTACCTACCACTCATTTCCAATTGGAACCCTGGCAACTGCCAACACTGATTTGTTAAAAGCAAGTCATGTTTAACTAACATGGTTTGAGCCTTTTTTTTGATGAGTGCAACATGACTGCTGTCATGTCTGCGGACTTCCAGAAGATATTTAATAAAACGCTACCTAACAGACTTACCAAAGTTAAATCTGGTTGAATAAAAAAGAACAGTGGGTTTCCCACGGTTCTAGGTACTAGGGCCACTGCTTTTCTTGATTCATTAATAATCTAGACTTGCTTGTGCAAGTGGTAAAACCTCAATTTTTAATTGACACAAAACCTGTAAGTTCTGAGGACTATGAGGAGTATGGCAATAGACATCAAGAGCACAGAGACAAGCTGGTGGATGGTTTAATGCAAAAAAAAGTGGAAGTGGTGCATTTTGGTAGTAAGAATGAGAAAAGGAAAGTGAAATAAAGGATACATTTCTAAAGGTATTGTGGGAACAATGGAACCAGCAGCGGGAAGGATATGAAGTCAGCAGGGGGTCTGATTGATAAGAAGAGATTTCAGTCACATGAATAGATTTGAGAAGCTGGACTCTTTTCCTCACAGAAGGGGAGATTTGAGGAAGTAAAACTGTTCAAAATCTGCATGGATCAGTGGAGGGAAAACTGCCCATTGCCAGAGGGACAGGAGCTACAGGACACTGCTTTAAGGTGGTTTACAAAACAAATAAGGTGACGTGCAGAAAATCTTGTTTACACAGTGAGTGATGAGGGTATGGTATATGTGACCTGACAGTATGGCAGCTGGACATTGAAGTGTAGTTTTCAGGGAACTGGATAATTATATGAATCAAAAACAGTTGCAGGGAGATGGTACAGACACAATGGGCTGAATGGCTTCCTTCTACACCCCAACTATGCACGCAAGTGTGATTGAAACAGCGCCTAGAGAAGGCTGCTCATCTTCACCATTGACAGGACCAGGAATTCCCTTTGTGACTTTTGCTAGAAGTGTGGCAGAAATCTGTTTACATACATGGATGCTCACGTATACGCTCTGCCACCATGATTTAGGGACAACATGCTTCTATAAATAACAGTGATTTTACCCAAAGTATTGGAATTCAACACTCCCTTGAAGCAGAAATAGGTTTGAATTCCAACTTCTTAGGAAGATAGCATTATTGGTTTATTTTCCCAGACAACAGTAATGTGCACATCAGAAGGAATTGTCACAATTATATTTCTGTGGGCTTTCTGTACCCTACGTTAACTGGCTATACATCTCCTCAATGGCAATTCTGGCAGTTGGGATGGCATGGTTTACCATTGACACGGCAACGGCATCCTCCACTGGTATCACCCGTACCCTGAAAGGTAAACCAGAAAGTTAGTAAAATCTGCATATTTACAAAACAAATAATCACCCTCTTCAGGGAAGATATTGGTGTTGCAGCAATGTCACTGGACTAATGATTCAGTGACCCCAGACTAATGCTAAGGGAACATAATTTCAAATTCCGCTTTAAATTTGATTGTGAAATTTGAATTATAAAGCTAATATCAGCAATAGTCACTATGAATTGAAATCTGTGATCATAAAAATCCACTAATGCCCTTTAAGGAGGGGCCATCCTTAACTTGGTCTGGCCTATGTGTGACTCCAGAGTTACAGCACAGTGAATGATTGAACCAGCCCAGCAAACTATTCAGTTGAAGGACAATGAGGAATTGCAACAAATGGTGGCTTTGACAGCAGCACCCATGTCCACGACTGAATTGTGTGTATTCTTCTAATTGGTTTCTCGACTTTCCTTCAGTATTCACTTCAGATGAAGTAGGTTGGAAAGAGGCTTGTTTCGAATGAGGTTTCTCGAGCGTTTTGCTTCCAAATCCACTAGCCACCACACCCCATCTGAGTAAAGAACCCCGTGACGCAGTATTTTTTTTCTGTATAAAATTTAGTTAAATATTTAAACGTTCATTAGTTGTACGAAAGCAAAATGTGGATGCTGGAAATCTGAAATAGAAACAAAATGCTGGAAATACTTACTGGTAGCATCTGAGGAGAGAGATAAAGAAGGCTGAATTTTCAGAATTCAGAGTTGAGAACAAAACTTAATGTGCGATGGTGGTTGCATGCCAGAATCCCACTCGTTCCCAGCTCCAGCAGAATTAAATTCTGGGTAAGAACACCCCGATACTGAACTTCCTGCTGCACTGCCAATTGAGGCTTTTAAGAGGTCAATGAAAGGGCCTCAGCTTTGATTATTTCAGTTTCAGGTGAATGAGAACGAGTGTACCCACCTGGTGAACCAGTTTGGGCAGTGCCCCACATTTATCCCTCCATGGTCACTCACCCATCCTCGGTGCCTGCGTGTGCTGTGCTAGCAGCAGCTGCGGCCTCCTCTCTCCCAAGTATTGAAGGTGGCATCGTCTGTTTGGCCGGCTACTTTTGGCAGGGTCCTAATCCCAGTAGAAAGCCGCTGAGTACCAACTGCAGGGAGATCTGGCAAGCTTTCAGATCCTAACAGGACCTGGATTTCTCTCCACTAATCTCTTCCACCATTAGACATGGTGATTCCACTGAAAGTTGATGTTTTGAGATCCGAGAACTTTTCGTCAGGTTGTGTGAAGAAGGTAACAGTCTTGAAATGCTGACGACCTCTTCTTTAACTCCATTTGAATGAAAAGTGTCATATGAGAAAATTGCATTGGATCCTGATTAGAACAGCCCTGAGGCTGACCCCAGAGCCTGGTGAGTCTGATTCCTCCCTCCACCCTCACACCTCCCAGATGTCACTGTCTATTGACACCTTTGGTAGATCTCACTGCTGCCATTTGTTTAGGGGTGGCACGGTGACTCAATAGTTAGCACTGCTGCCTCACAGCGCCAGGGACCCAGGCTCGATTCCAGCCTCGGGCAACTGTCTGTGTGGAGTTTGCAGGTCCCCCCAACCGTGTCTGTGTGGGTTTCCTCCGGGTGCTCCGGTTTCCTCCACGGTCCAAAGATGTGCAGGTTAGGTTGACTGGCCATGGGAAATTGTCCCATAGTGTCCAGGGATGTGCAAGCTAGGTGGGTTAGCCAAGGGAAATGCAGGATTACAGGGATAGAGTGGGGGGTGGGGGGAGTGGTCTGGGTGGGATGCTCTTCAGAGGGGCAGTGTAGACTCAATGAGTCAAATTGCCTGCTTCCACGCTGTAGGTAATCTATGATTCTATGTACCTTTTCTATGTGACTTTGAACCATAAAAGCAGCAATGTAAAACAAAAATCTGGGAGAACTCACCAGCAAAATTGGCATTGTGTCATTTTCATCGCGTTTCATGGATGGTTTCTGTCCATGGCCTAGTGAATTTTGTCACATAATTAGTCCAAACTCACATCAGCAACTATGTACCACATCTCTATGATGCCCCTCTCATCCATTGTGGCTGGGAGAATGGACGAGGCAAGATTAAATAATCATGCAGTGATTATGGGCAATAATTCTTGTTTAGGCACAGCTGCTTACAAATAAGAATCTCATTTCGAAATCCAGAACTTGGTTGAAATGTGACTTTTACCGTCAGTTTTACAGGAGAACAGCAATACTTGATTTTCCTAAATTTCTGACCTTTGCCTCTGTGGTTCAGGGCCTGGAAAGATACCACTCCATGTTCCAGCTTGCTCTTTTCTCTCCACAGATGCTGCCTGACATGCTGGGGTTGTTTTTTTTGGGTTTTTGTTCTTATTTTCGATTTCCAGTGGTCATTTGGCTTTTGTCAATAGGGGAAAGTGTCTGGGTCCAATGGCTGGCGTGAGCTGTTACCATAGCAGGTGGCAGTATCAGTGCAGCTACTGAGATAGTCTTACTGCAGGCCAAAGAGTGGCAGGTCTCATTCTTTCTGACCCCTCTACCACAACCCCCATCTTCTACAAGACCACATTGATGCCGTCCCCTCTCTTGCCCCACCTCAACCACCAGGTTAAATGAAGAAGAAAATCTCTTTTCAAAACATGCAGTCAGATTCCAAATATATAAACTAAGAATAAGAGTAGGCCACTCGGCCCTTTGATCCTGCTATGCTGTTCAATAAGACCATGGCAGATCTGAATATTATTGCATACAGGTAATAATCTTTCATCCCCTTGATAACAGATAATCTATCTAGCTCTGCCTTAAAAATATTTAAAGATTCTGCATCCAAGTCTTAAGAATAAGGGGTAAACCATTCACGACTGACATGTTGAAGAATTTCTTCACTGTGGAATTGTGTGCCACAGAAAGCTGTTAGGGCCAGTTCGTTAGGTATATTCAGGAGGGAGCTGGACGCGACCCTTGTGGCTAAAGGGATCAAGGGGTATGGAGAGAAAACGGGAGTGGGATACTGAAATTGCATGATCAGCCATCATGTCAAATGGTGATGGAGGCTTGAAGGACCAAATGGCCTACTCCTGCACTGATTTTCCATGTCTCTATGTGTTTTGATGAAAGGAATTCCAAAGACACACAACCCTCTGACAGAAAATATGTTTCCCCATCTGTATCTTAAATGGGGATCCCCTTATTTTTAAGCTAGGACCCCCTCTAGTTCAAGGAAGAGGAAAAAATCCTTGAAACAACTCAGACCAGATCAGCACAAAGGAATGGAAAAGATTTGAAAGGAGGGAGTGCTACCTTGATCCCTGCAAAGGGGGACTTGATTTTTCTGCCAAGTTCACTTCTATATAAAGGTCTATGACTGTAGAAGCAATCCATGCAAAAAGTATGGAAATAAGTCCTTAGAAGCCAGTGATACACAGAAACACACCTACATGGTGCCCAGCTGTAAGACTATGCAACCATCTCAATGCACAGGAGCGACTACTAATGTGAAAATCTAATTAATAGCAGATGACTAATAAGACACATCATTTCACACACGCTCACCCCCCCAACCCCAAAAAACTACTTGCGGAACCTTAGATCCTTGGAGGAGTGTAGCGCCCTAGTATTGAGCATAAAAAGGTAAAGTCACCATGGTCCCACTCTCTCATTAGACAGAGATGACTGATGCTGGTTTAATGTGAGGGTCACCATGCTTCAGGTGAGGGGAGAGATAACCTCAGCTGGTTTGGGAGTTGAACCCACACAGCTGGCATCACAAACCAGCCATACATCTGATTGAGCTAACCAACTGCTATTAAGTTTAGTCACTGGCAGAGATTAATTGGAATGAATGGTCTATTTTCCTCCTGTAGTTTCAATGTAACTCTATGTAACTAGAATTGGACAGCATACCGCAGGTCCCCAACGAGGTCCCTTTGTCACCCAGCAAATTTCCGTTTTACACATAGTGCAGCGTATCCAATCACAGCCACTTTTTTTCTGTACAACAATCTTGCATTTAGGACAGTTCATGGCTTCCCCTTTCTGAAGCAATGCCTGTAAAGATACAGATCACAGAATCAGGGGAGAGCGTAAGATCTCAAACATCATGGGCAAAATTCAAAACCACAGTTTGTCGCCGCATTTTCTGAAAACCCAGGGAAATTTGTCAGTGACCACTTTAGAAGTCAAAAGCAGAGCTGCGAACATTTGCAGGGTGCCAGAAATTGCCAACAAATATACAGACAGGGATGATGAGACAGTTACTGGGTAAATTAAACAATGTTGTCCTCAGCCATTAGAGACTTCAAAAACCTCTTCTTGTTGCCTCTTGAGTAAGCTGATAATTTCCCTCTTCATTTCTGTTCCCCACACCACTAACAGAGCACCTGTTCCCCCTCCACGAATGAGGATTCCAACCCCATCACTTTAAGACAATGCTTAATCAAAAATAAATACGTCCCTCACCGTGAGCATGTCAGCAGTCTGTTTTGCAGCTTTGTTATTTTCAGCTTGAATTTTGAGATCGTCCTGATACTGCTTGCAATTCATTCCTTCATGTATTGCCTGTGTAAAGGAGCAGAAAGGATGATCTCTTTTTTTTTCCAGTCAGCCTAGGTCACTGGTTGGCGTTCTGCCTTTTGAGTGACAAGGTTCCAGGCTTAAGTCTCACTTCAGGACTCGAGCAACTATCCAAATTCATTCTTTAGCATGGTACCGCAGAGGTGCAGCGCTGTCGGAGCTGCTGTCTTTCAGATGAGACGATAAACTAAGGCTCCAGTTGTTTGGGTGAATGTAAAATCTCCTGTAGCATTATCTTAAAGAACAGTTAACCTCAGTGCACTGACTAATATTTATCCATCAATCAACACCACAAGAATAGATTATCTGGTCATTACCACACTGCTATCTGTGGGATTTTGCAGATTGGCTGCTGTGTTTCTCAGATTACGAAAGTGACTATACTTCTAAAGTACTGGATTGGCTTGTTATGGACCAGACCGAACCCCCTCAAAATATATTAAAAAGATAGTCTGACACTAACTTTTTCGTATTTTAAACATGATACGGTGGTGCTCGTGTTGGGCTGGGATATACAAGGTCATAAGTCACGCGACACTAGGTTATAGTCCAACAGGCTAATTTGAAATCACAAACTTTCAGAGCACTACTCCTCCGTCAAGTGAAGTGAAGAAAAGCACACAGGCACAGAATTTATAGGCAGAGAGATAAAAAGATCATACAAATGGTCAGAGTGGAGTGTCAGCAGACTGGATAATAAGTCTCTGCAAGTGATCAAAAGAGTCGAACGGTGTGAGTAAAGTGTCAACAGCTGAACAGCAAGTGAAGGGATGATTAAATGAGGCAGCAAGATAATTACAAAAAAAAATAAAAATAAGGTGGTGCTGGAGACAACCAAATGGCTGGAATAACATGATAGATATCAGAGTCGAAGCTGAGAGTCTAACCAAAGTAACGTAATCCAAAAGTGTACAAACTAATTAAGGTAGGCAGATCATAATAAGTTATCAAGGTGATGGTGTCAAAACAGGACAGTAAGGAAGGTTTTACAGAACCATATGATGGGGTGACATGTAGCGACATGAACCCAAGGTTGAGGCCATCTTCGTGGGTACAGAACTTGGCTATCAGTTTCTGCTCGGTGTTTGTATGAACTTTTGATCTCTCTGCCCATTGATTTCTCTGCCTATAAGCAATGTGCCTGTGTGCTTGTCTTCACTTCACCTGATGAAGGGGCAGTGATTCGAAAGTTTATGATTTCAGATAAACCCGTTGGACTATAACCTGGTGATATGTGACTTCTGACCTCATATTTTAAAGGTAAGTGTAAGGCGTTGCATTCCAGATGCAATTTGATTGGTCAAACTCCTCGACATTAAGCAAAACACTTCATTTTTACACTACAGTTAAAATACAGACAAATAAAAATAAAAGAATTGGCTTAACTGTAACACTATTGAAATGCTTAACAAAATAATAGATATATCTAACTGCTACTAATTAACTTGTGCAATATAGTAACATCCCATAAACACACACTTGGCAAAGGCAAATTCAATAAAATAGACAGTCTCACATGCAATCCTAGCAGCAGGAAGAGAACCCTAACTTCTAGCTGTAACAGAGAGAGAAGTATAAGCTTCCATATCCAGCTTCAAGATCCCAGCAATTGCTATAAATGAAAGCTATAACTAAAAATCCTGGTTCTGTGGGAGCTTGACTCCACCCATTCAGGCTGCTTCTATTGTTCCAATATTCTTTTAAAAAAGGGCCTCACAAGCTGTTTACTTCATTGGGAACTAGCAGACTGCTCGTCATTTCTATCTCAAACTTTCTTCATTTAAAAAAAACGAGGAAAGCATACACCTCTTAAAGCCATAGTCACGGGCTGTAAAGTGTTTTGCAACACCCAGTGGTTTTAGCAAGCTTAATAAAAATGCTGTGGCTCTAGCTTTTTGAAACAATTCAGATTTAGATCTCACCTTTCAGCTCTGGGTTTTTGCTGTACATTTATGAACTCCAAATTATAGTTCCAAGTAGTGAATTGTTCAAACCTACCTTTTACAAATAAATCTGTATGTTTCATCATATAATAAAACAATGAACTCTAATTTCTCCATTCTACCCAGGGGTTTTTAACATTAACACAACAGGCAATATTCACTTGCCGCTGAGTCAGGAGGATCTCACTGCAGAGATTTAAGCACAAAATTTAAGCTATTACTCCAGTCGTGAGGGGATGCTGGAATCTCTGAGGTGCTTTCATTCAGATGAGACACGAAACCAAGGTCCCCTTGCCATTTCAGGTGGATGTAGAATATTACATGGCATTACTCCAAAGAGTTAGGGAGTTCTTCCTGGAGTCCTAGTCAATATTTAACCTTCAAATGAAGCTGACTAAAACAGATTATCTGGTTCTAATCGCAATGCTGTTGGGGGAGCTTACTTACACAAAATTGGCTGCTGAATTACCTATGACACAGCTTGACTACGTTTCCAAAGAAAAGAACTTCAATCTGTGATGCCCTGATCTGGTTCTTTGCCTTTTGATTATGAATGTCTCATTTATTTTGACTATGATCGTGCTAATTTGAGAGATGAAGATTCTATCCAGGAATAAAGCTTACGTTTATAAAGTAGCAACTTTTTCAACTCATTCTCTTGCTGCTCTGTGTTAGTTTGTGAAATTTTGCTTTATGGTTATGAGGCTACTCACTGATTAATCAATCACAGACTTCCTATGGATGGGGTAATGTGTAAGGGAATGACTTAGAGGGAAACAGGCCAATATGTGATGGGTGTTACAGCTGAGCAGCCACACTTGGACACAGCCAACGGAACGGCAAGCAGCCGATGCAAACGGAGGGCTGCTTCCTTTACAAGTGGGAATCAGTCAGGGATGGTGCAGGAGGTTCAGCAAATGTAACTTTGCCACATTTGGATCCAATGGGAGCTCTCCTCCAAACTTTGGATCAAGCGGTGCATGAGAGACATGCTAATTCAATGACTTGGATGCAATAAGGACTGCAGATGCCGGAAGCCAGAGTCTATAGGTGTGAGGCTGGAAAAGCACAGCAGGTCAGACAGCATGTGTGTTTCAAAGGAAGACCACCAAATCATTCAAAAGGTTTCCCAATTTCAGAAGTTTTATCAAAGCAGGGTTTAGTAGTCTCACTTACAACTTACTATATGAAGCACAGTTTAATATTACATCAGGGATGGTCTAATATTACATTGAGCACTGTCAAATATTCACGATGGAAGACACCAGCAGTGTATCAGAACTTCAAGGGAGTCAGGCAAAAGAGGTGAGTGTAGTGGCCATCACTAAGCAGAAGGTGCTGGGGAAGCTGAAAGGTCTGAAGGTGGATAAATCACGTGGACTGAATGGACTCCACCCCAGGGTTTTGAAGGAGATAGCTGAGGAAATTGTGGAGGCATTTTTGGTGATCTTCCAGAAATCGCTGGAGTTAACGAGGATCCCAGACGGCTGGAAAATGGCTAATGTAACACAAACAGAAGTTGCTGGAAAAGCTCAGCAGGTCTGGCAGCATCTGTGGAGAGAAATCAGAGTCAACATTTTGGGTCGAGTGACCCTTCCTCAGAATGCCTGAGGAAGGGTCACTCAGCTCAAAACGTTAACTCAGATCTCTCTCCACAGATGCTGCCAGACCTACTGAGCTTTTCCAGCAATTTCTGTTTTTGTTTCTATTTTCCAGCATCCGCAATTCTTTAGGTTTTTATTTGGCTAATGTAACACACCTGTTTAAGAAGGGATGGAGGCAAAAGACGGAAAACTAAAGGCTGGTTAGCCTGACCTCTATCGTTGGTAGGATTTGAGAGTATTATTAAGAATGAGATAGCAGAGCACTTGGAAGAGCATGGTGAAACAGGGCTGAGTCAGCATAGCTTCATCAAGGGGAGGTCATGCTGGACAAATCTGTTAGAATTTTTTGAGGAGGTAATGAGCAAATTAGACAAAGGAGAGCCAGTGGAGACAATCTACTTGGATTTCCAGAAAGCCTTTGACAAGGTGCCACACAGGAGGCTGCTAAATAAGATAACACCCGTGATGTTAAGGGCAAGATACTGGCATGGATAGAGTATTGGCTGACTGGCAGAAGGCAGAGAGTTGGGATAAAGGTGTCTTTTTCAGGATGGCAGCCGGTGACTAATGGAGTTCCACAGGGGGCAGAGTTGGAACCAAAACTATCCACGCTATACATTAATGATCTGGATGAAGGAACTGAGGGAACTGTTGTGAACTTTGCAGGTGAGACAAAGGCAGATGGAGGGACAGGTTAGTGTTGAAAAACTGGGGAGGTTGCAGAAGGACTTAGACAGGCTAAGAGATTGAAACTTACAGAATACAGGGAGGCCTGGACAGAGTGAACATGGAGACACTAAAGACATGAGGGCACAGCCTCAGGGTGAAGGAATGAGCTTTTGGAACTGAGATGAGGAGGAATTTATTCAGCTGGAGAGTGGTGAATCCATGGAACTCACTGCCGCAGAAGGCTGTGGAGGCCAACTCATTGAGTGTATGGAAGACAGAGATAGATAGGTTCTTGATTAATAAGGAGATCAAGGGTTACGGGGAGAAGAAAGGAGAATGGGGTTGAGAAACATTTTGGCCATGATTGAATTGGTTAATAAGAGTCAATGGGTCAAGTGACCTAATTCTGTTCCATATCTTATGGTCTTATTATATCAGCAACTGACAAATATTACATCAAGCAACATCAGATATTATTTTGATCCTAAATTTATTATTCTATAGTAGGAAGGGGTTTGACTCTACTTGTACATTTTCTGAGGAAGGCAGATAAGGCTTCAGTTTCAGTTTCTTTCAAAGGTATTGCATCCAGTGGAACTGCGCACCACACTTTAGGAAGGATAATGAGAGTGGCTTACAGGGAGTGCAATAAAGATTAACAAGAATGGTTTCAGTGATGAGGAACTTCTGTTGCATTCTTGGATGGCGATTTTTTAAAATTCACTCACAGGATAAGGGCGTTGCTGACTAGGCAACATTTATTGCCGATCCCTAATTACCCAGAGAGCAGTTCAGAGTCAACCACGTTGCTGTGGGTCTGGAGTCACATATAAGCCAGACCAGGTAAGGGTGGCAGTTTCCTTCCCTAAAGGATAACAGCGAACCAGATGGGTTTTTCCAACAATGGATTCATGGTCATCATTAGATTCTTAATTCCAGATATTTTGCTGAATTCAAATTCCACCATCTGCCATGGCAGGATTTGAACCCGGTCCCCAGAAAGTTATCTGGGTCTCCGGATTAACAGTCCAACAATAATACCACAGGGCCATCACCGTTGCAACTATTTTCCTTGTAAAAGAGAAGGTCGGGAGGACATTTGATTAAGATATTCAAAATCATGGACAGAGTAGATAGGGAAATACTGCTCACACTGATGGAAGGGTTGTAAAGGGGAGGGCACCAATTTAAATAACTCGCAAAAGAAGCAATGAGGGGGATCTTTTTTCCCACAACAAGTGTTTCAGGTGAAGGGGCACATGCTGCCTGAGAATGTGATGGAGCCTGGTTCAATCAAGGCGTTGAAGAGAGTTGGATTATCATCTGTGAACGAGGAGTATGAGAGGTTATGGGGAAAAGGCGTGGAAATGGTACTTGGTGCTTCGCTCGTTTGGAAAGCCAGCACAGACACGGGCTGAATCGCCTCCTTCTGTATGTGAACAAAGAAAAATACAACACAGGAACAGGCCTTTTGGCCCTCCAAGCCTGCGCCGACATATTTTGCCCTTCCATACTAAAACTGTCTTCACTTACAGGATCTGTATCCCTCTATTTCCTTCCTATTCACGTATTCATCCAGAACCTTCTGAGTCAGCAGTGAGAAAGCTACCACAACTCTCACCATTCTTTGATTTCCATTCTACTTTTTCCACATCGTCCCTCTTCTCCTGAAGACTAGTTGCAGAGGTATTGTTCCTCGCTGTTCACTGATTACACTCTGATACCTCATTCAAGTGGCCATTGTCTATCATAACGGAGGATTATAGCTGAGCCCAGTCCTGTCCTCAAGTGATAGCAGGGAACCACAAGATAGTTGTTTCCAGTAGAAACCTTGGCTATTCTGTCTCACTAACAGTTGCAGTTCTCTCAGGGAGTATGAGTTGTTGTGGAATGTACATTTGCACACATATATTGTAGTGTGCACCCGTGGACAGTGACGCTAGAGATTCCAATGTTCTTTCCATCGCACCGCTGACCAGGAATGTCACCGGCTTTTACCACTAGTATGTGATTTTCAGGATAATTCTCCAACTGTTACAAACACACTTTCCTTGGTGTCTCAAACGCACAGCTTCATCTTAAAGACAGAGATCAAAGTAAACGGTCTGGCCCTAATTCTCAGACTATGCCCACTAGTTCGAGAAGTCCCAAACAATGGAAATAGTTTATCTATCCTGTCTTTTCCTGTTAATCTCTTGAAAATTTTGATCAGACCTAAGCCTTCTAAATTCTAGAGAAAACAGGCCTAATTTGCCTACTCTCTCCTCATAACAATGCTAACCCACTGCATGACCAGACCGGCCACCAATTCCAATGGATGCTAATTGGCTCCGGTCCAAATAGAGTCAGGGTAACACATCACAGAATGAAGCCATCCTGCCCATTCACATCGGTGATGGCCCTTTGAAAGAAATATCCAGTTGGCTTCATGCTAGCGTTTAGTCCCTCCTTCCTCCAGTCGCCCTGCACAAACTTCCTGTTAGTAAATCAACTTCTGCCACTAGTGCATGATCGTAACTCACTGAGGAAAAACAAAATCTCATTCGCCCATCATTCTGTTGCCAAATATCTGACATGTGTTGCCTTAGTTACCTCAGATCAGCTAACACAAGCAGACTAGAGGACTTTTTTAGTTGGGGTAGCTCACCTTAATGCTTACCGTAGCAACACCATGTCCCTTGGTTTTTCTCCATGGGAGAGACAGGCAGTTCAATTAGATCGTGGCTGATCTGACTCTCAGCTCCCCCTACCTGACTTTGCTTCATGTTGCTTTAATATCCTAAAGATCTAAACCTCAATTGATGTAGCATGCATCACCTCTGGTGCAGGGAGAGTTGCAGATTTCTACTGCATTTTGAGCCAATCTCTGACTTGTTCCCACCCAGTGGTTTATCCAGCTTTTTCTCCAAGGTCTCTCCATCCCTAGTCCAACTCACCTTGCACAGCAGACAGTTCTTCTTCTTACAGAGGGGACAATGAAACTCATTGACATCATCTTCATAAATGCACCAGCCCTTGCAGTCTGGGGTCTGACAGTGATAGCTGTTCTCACTTCGATTCTCAGCAATTGCTAAACTTCGGTCTAAGTACGTGCGATATTCACTCTCCGTCAGGAGCTGCGAAGCAACACAAGAAAAGCTGAGTCATAATTAGACAGGCAACAATACTGAAATCAGTGGGCAAACTGTGGGAGATTTTCAAAGTAGTTACATCAGAGTTACAGCACAAACGCTGGTGCATGTCAATATTTATTCTCTACACAACCCTCCTTCCTCCCATCTTCATCTCGCCTTATCAGCATAATCTTTTTATTTGCTCTTGGGACATAGATGTCACTGACTGGACCAACATTTATTGTGCTTTCCAAATTGCCCTAGAGAAGGAGGGAGTGAGCTGTCTTCTTGAATTGCTGCAGTCCTTGAGGTGTGGGTCCATCCATAGCGCTGCTTCCAGGATTTTTACCCTGCGACAGTGAAAAGGAGATGTTTGGCCTTTAGAATGCTTGTTACCAGGAATCTAAGAACAGGAGGAGACCACTCAGCCCCTTGAAAGGGTCCTGCCATTCGATGAGATTGTGACTGGTCTACAAGCTATCTCCATATGCCCACACTTTTCTTCCCATATCCTTTAATACCTCTGTTCCATAAAAATCTATCAATCTCATTTCTAAAACGAACCAATCAGTTCAGTATCAATTGCCGTTTGCAGAAGAGAGTTGCAAACATCTCACATCCTTTTTGAGAAGGATTTCTTTTCCCTAGTTTCACTCCTGAATGATTCGCTCTTCGACATTGTCCCTATACCCTGTCCTAGACTTGGACTGGTCTATGATTCAGGCCAACTCCAGAGGCTTTTATAAATGGCAGTAGGGAGTCACATGTGTAAGTGCTGCCCACATTTCTGACAGTTTTTTTGCTGCTGGGGTCATGGCACAGCTTGAACTCAACCTGGCCATTTCAAATTAAACTAAGTTCAAATGGACCTCAATACGGCCATTCCTAGAGTCTGAACCCTCAAGGTGTGAGTCACACATGTGTGAAGTAGACATAAACATGTTTGAAGGACAGGCAAGAGCTGTTTGAATCTCATGATCATAAAATCCCTACAATGTGGCAACAGGCCATTTAGCCCATCAAGTACACACTGGCCCTCTGAAAAGCATCCCACCCAACCTCACATCCCTACCCTAGCCTACCCCTGTAACCCTGCATTTCCCATGGCTAATCCACATAACCTGTACACCCCTGGATACTGTGGGAATTTCTCATAGCCTGTCCACCTCATGTTCGGACTGTGGGAGGAAACTGGGGCACATAGAGGAAACCCACACAGACATAGGGAGAACGTACAAACTCCACACAGACAGTTGCCCATAGGTGGGTATTGAACCTGGGACCCTGGCTCTGTGAGGCAGCAGCGCTAACCACTGAACCACCGTGCCACCCACAATCTGAAGTTTTATAAATTCCCCAGTACTTCAAATGTGAAAAAGAAACTAGGATGAAGCTACCAATTAAGAAAAAACCTATTGCACACTTTGATTGACAGACCATCTGCTGCAGGTTAGAGAAACATTTCCATCTGTTGGTAAATGAATTTCAAGCCAGATAATGAAACTACCTGTGGAACCGTATCCTAATGAGGAGTTAATGACTTCAGGAAAAGAGAGCAGGGAAAATTGGTAGTAAAGAATGAAAGTAGAAAAGAATGAGGCTGAAACAAACAAATAAATGAAATGAGATAACAAGGTGTAGATCTGGATGAACACAGCAGGCCAAGCAGCATCATAAGAGCAGGAAGGCTGATGTTTCGGGCCTAGACCCTTCATCTCAGGTTTTCTTTGTAAAGATAAATGGATAGAAAGTCTCTGGGTATGGATGGGTTGTGGTGGTGGGAGGGGAATGAACGTATCCTCACCCATACAAATTCCATGCTGTGAGGCTGGGCTATTCTACTCTGTGGGCCTCACTTACATTGCCCCAAAAAGAAGCTGGTGGGAATGACGTTACAGCAAGTCAGCAGGATTAGGAAATCAGGAGGCACTGGACTATACCCAACGATGCAAATGGAATATTCCCAGGTCACGGGATAATGTCCAGGCTGTTCACAGCCAATGCAAACAGAAGGAATTCCCAAATGAAAGAGGAGAACTCAAGATTCCTTGTTATGTCAGAAATAGACCTCTTGGATCACAAGGAACCTTCATGACATTAAGTTCTCTTCTGGCTCAATACCGATTGTGGTTAGCAAAGCTATACATGGAGTTCTTGGTAGCAGAAGTTGAAAAGGTGCACTTGCCGTTAGGGTGAGATTGGGGTCCTCCCTACATCACTCAAGTGAAGACATCTGCCTCCTTGAAGCAAACAGCTTTCCTGTGGCTCATTTCTGGCAAACGTGGATGGTAGATGGTGAGACTCTCCCCATTTTCTTAATCATGCACCCACCAACACTACCACACCCCCAACCTCAAGCACCATTAACATTCTCCCTTATGTAAAATTGTAAAGGGGTGGCTCAGTGGTTGGCACTGCTACGTTCAGGGCTCAGGGACCCAGGTTCAATTCCGGCCTTGGGTGACTGTCTGTGTTGAATCTGCATGTTCTCCCTGTGTCTGCATGGATTTCGTCTGGGTGCTCTGGTTTCCTCCCACAGCCCAAAGCTGTGCAGGATAGGGTGGGTTGGCCGTGCTAAATTGTCCATAATGTCCGGGGATGTGTGGGCTAGGTAGATTAGCCATGGGAAATGCAGGGTTACAGGGATACAGTCAGTGTGGACTTGTTGGCCTGAATGATCTGTTTCTACACTAGAGGGATTCTATGATTTTGGTTGCTCTCAACTCTGAACTAAAGCATGAGGAATCATAGGTGAAGAAAACTTACGCATTTTATCTCACGTTCCAGGATTTTGCTTTCGCATGAATACAGTTGATCCATGAATGGACACGTCACGTCGGCTTCGGTGCTGCTCAGGATCGTTTGCTTCAGACAATCTCTGCAAACATTCATAGTTATTTAAAGATCTGAACAGTTAGTTCACTCTATTTCCCACGCACTCTATTTCAAGCTTCAGTTCAATCCTCCATATCATGAGTCCAAGTTCATCGAGTTGTAGAAGCTGTTCAGTAAAAAGCCCGACAGCCCATCGAATCTGAGCCAGTGAAAAGCAACCACATAACTATTCTAATCCAATTTTCCAGCACTTGGCCTGCAGCCTTGCATGATTTGGCATCACATGTGTATATCTAAATACTGATAGGGTCTGTTTCCACACTGTATGACTCTTCGGTCTAACCAGTCCATGCTAACCATAATCCCAAGCTAAACTAGTCCCACATGCCTATTCCTGGCCCATATTCCTCCAAACCCTTCCTATTCATGTACTTACCTAAGTGTTTTCTAAACATTGTAATTGTACCTGCATCCACCATTTCCTCAGGAAATTCATTCCACACGCGAACACACCCTCTGTGTAAAAAATGTTTCCTTCATGTATTTTTTAAAATCTCTCTCCTCTCACCTTAAAAGTGTACCCCTAGTCTTGAAATCCCCCAACCTAGGGAAAAGACAACTATCATTAACCCTATCTATACCCCTCATCTTAAATGTTACAAGCGTTTCTGCCTCTACCAGCCTTAAAGGCAGTGATCTCCAGATTCCTACCACCTTCTGAATGAAAAATATTTTTTTCACATCTCTTCTAAACCTTCTGCCCCTTACCTAACTATTTCTGGATGAATCTAGACTAGAACAAGAATATAACCATTATGTGAATATACCCATCCTTAACAAGAGAAGTTGGTTAAAAAAGATGGGTTACTTGGGTTATAAAAAGAGAAATGGAGAAATAAAAGTGGAAAGAGATGGTGGTATAGCAGTAACAACAACAGACCAGTAATCCAGAGGCCCAGGCTACTGGTCAGGGGACATGAGTTCAAATCCCACCACTGCTGCTGTTGGAATTAAGAATATATATTATACGAAATATAATAAGGGAATGTGCAATAAGATTTCAGTGTTCTCATATACCAGTTGCTAAAGGCAAGCTTTCAGGTGCAGTAGGAGGTCAAGAAGGCAAATGGTATGCTGGCCTTCCCAGCAAACGCATTCACCTCCAGGAGCAGGCATATCTTGCTGCAATTGTACAGGGCCTTGGTGAGACCACACCTGGAACATTGTGTGCAGTTTTGGTCTCATTTTCTGAGGAAGGCTGTTCTTGCTATTGTGGGAGTGCAGCAAAGGTTTATCAGACTGATTCCTGGGATAGCAGCACCGATGAGCGAGGGGAGGTTGATTCGGTTAGGTTAATATTCACTGGACTTCAGAAGATTGAGGGGGATCTCAGAGAAACGTATAAAATTCTGGATAGTGTTGTTGCAGGAAAGACATTCCTGATGAAGGGGGAGTTCAGAACCAGGCGTCACAGTCTCAGGACACAGGGTAAACCATTTAGGACTGAGATGAGGAGAAATTTCTTTACCCAGAAAGTGGGGAGACCATGGAATGCACTACCACAGAGAGCAGTCAAGGCTGAAACATTGTATGATTTCAAAAGGGAATAGTATATAGCACTTGGTGTTACATGAATTAAAGGATATGAAGGAAAAATCAGGAACAGGCTGTTCAGATGGATGATCACCCACGATCATTATAAATAGCAGAGCAGGCTTGAAGGGCCGAATGGCCTACGCCTGGTCCTATTTTCTTTGTTTCTATATAGCTAGACATGTTCACTACACTGATTGTTGTTTATTTTGAATATAAAATCTGCTTCGCGTCTGCTGTCTTTACCAATTTGGAGCTAACAATGACTACAATGTGGCTGTCTCTACGCTGCCCCTGTCCCGATCAAACCATTCCGCTCCAGGGCAATTAGGGATGGGCATCACAAATTGGCCATGAGCAACACTCATATCCCATAAAAAATTGAGAAGAACATGCTGATTTTTATTATTACATGAATCACTGGTTAGCTGGAGTATTAAGGACAATGCTGGGCTCTGCACTCTACTCAGAGAGGGTCCAGAGGAGATTTACGTGGAAAAATTGCTGGAGAAACTCAGCAGATCTGACAGCATCTGTGGAGAAAGAAACAGAGTTAATGATTCAAGTCAGATATGACACAAAGTCTACAAACCTCAACTCTGCTTCTCTCTACAAACACGGTCAGACCTGCTGAGTTTCTCCAGCACTTTCTGTTTTAATTATAAATCTTCAGCATCGGCAGCAATTTGTTTTTATTATGTGAAGAAATTCAGCAGCGAGCAGAGATTGCAAACGCTTGGGTTGTTCTTCTTGGAACAGAAAGAATTGAGAGTTAACATCACTGAGGTTTTGAAGAAAGTTGCTGATTGGAGTAAGTGAGAGAAAAGCTACTCTCTTTGGCAAGAACCAGAAGTCGCAAAGTCTAAACTCAGTGAGAAAGCAGATCAGGTAAATGTGTTTTTCTCTCAGAGGATCACTACAGTGTGGAATTCTCTCCCTCAGAAGGTGGAGCAGTCTGGGTCCTTAAATGTATTTAAGGTGGCGTTCAATTTTTGGCAGCCAATGGGCATGGGAGTTGGGGGATGCAGACGGGAAAGTGGAGCCGAGACCACAACCAGATCAGCCCTGATCTTATTAAAGAGTGCAGCAGGCTTAAAGGGCCGAATGGCCTAACCCCACCTTTAAGTCTGATGTTCTTACGTCTTCACTCAGTGAGTTGTCAGGATGTAGAACGATGTGAACGAGAAGGTGAGGGAAACTGAATCCATAAACAATTTTTTGAAAAGGAGTTAAGTGTTTGAATGTGCAAGTTTATGACCAAATAACGGGTATGCAGGGCCAAGCAAGTATCAGCACAGGCAACATAAGCTGAAGGATTCCAACTCTTTATGCTTCTCTAACGTGTTTAATTTCTGTTTCAGAAGAAGGGAGTGAATTTGTGGAGGTCTGCTGCCCAGTCGCAATTAATTTCCATCCAATTGCCTTGCAGCCACCTCCAGGAGATCCCCCTGCTCCTGTTATGAAATGAAATAACTTCTCTTACTTGCAGAAGGCATGTAAGCACTCTCGAAGAGTCACTCCTTCACCATTCTCCAAGGTGTTTAAACAGATCGGACACTCAAAATCTTCCCCGGTCGATATTAGATTTTGTTCATCTGTTTCCAACAAGAGTTTGTAATTCTGTTGTCGCTTTATCAGTTTGGACTGTGTATAAAACAAACACAGAACAGAAACAGGCCACTCCATCTATCCAGTATGTGCCAATATTTATGATCACGGAGTCTCCTCCCATCTTTCCTTATCTAAATCTATTCCCTTCTTTTTAACTTGTCTAACCTCCCCTTAAGCGTACCTACACTATTCACTTCAGACACATCCAGTGGGAGCGCGTTCAACATTTTTACAGCTCTTTGAGTAAAGAAGGTTTTTCTGAATTCTCAATAGGGCTTCTTGGTAACCATCTTATGTTGTGTTCTTCACCAGAGTGAAAACAAAATTCTCTTTGTATTCATTCATCATCCAGGACAAAGTTGCCAGGCTGTTTGACACTGTCCACATACTCACCTATCTTTGACATTTAATCCCTCCACTAACTCAAACTGGCACCAGTGTGTACCATCTACAAGATACACAGCAGAGGTTCATCAACGCTCCTTCAACAGCACCTTCCAAACCCAGGACCCCTCCCATCTAGATGGACAAAGGCAACAGATGTGTGGAAATACCACCACCTGTAAGTTCCCCTACAAGTCACACGCCATCCTGACTCGGAAATATATCATTGTCACTTCACTGTCACTGGGACAAAATCCTGGATCTCGCTTCATAACATCATTATGGATCTACCTACACCCAAGGATTACAGCAGTTGAAGAAGGCAGCTCATCACCACCTTCTCCAGGACAATTAGGGATGAGCAACTGGCAAGGGCTGCTTAATGATCAATGGCTACACTCTGCAAAAAGAATATAAAACAAAATCCCATCATAATTTTACAGACCTTTATTATATTGACTAGGTAACTAATTTGATAATTGTTACCTAATTGACTGTGTAAAATGTCACTAGCAGGCAGCCTATATTACAGTGACAAATACTGTGAAAGAAATGACAAGTTAAGGTTAAAGCTAGATCAATGTGAAATGCAAAATCAGACTAGATTTTATAAAAAGATCCCCCCTTAAAGTTACTAAATTCCCAGAGTTATTCCACCTCAGGTTACTGAATATTGCAAGTTCTAATCTCTGCTGGAATGTACATGTGTGCAGTACAAGGTTTTGGACAAAGTGGCTGAGGGTCAACACTGCTGCCTCACAGCCCCAGGGACTTGGGTTCCTTTCCACCCTTTGGCAACTGTCTGTATTGAGTTTTCACATTCTCCCTGCACCTGTGTGAGTTTGCTCTGGTTTCCTCCCACAGTGCAAAGATGTGTAGGTGAGGTGGACTGGCCACGCCAAATTGCCCATAGTGTCCAGGGATGCCTAGGTTAGGTGAGTTAGCCACGGGGAATGCAAGATTACAGGGATAGGGTAGGGGGTGAGTCTAGGTGAGATGCTCTTTGGAGGGTCAGTGTGGACTTGACAGGCCGAATGGCCTGCTTCCATTCTATGAATTACACTTGAGACTTAAACCACAAAGCACTGCCATTGACAGTTACTAACTGGTCTGTAAAACTCACAGTAAAAGGGATAGTCAGGAATGGAAGCAGAGGTTGGGGAAGGGTGCAGAAATGTTGCACACCCACATTCTGTGAGTGGCAGGAGATCAGTAACTGACAGCAATAAAAAGACAAAGCCAAATTCTTAGCAACATCAGAAAGGTCTCTAGCTTAGGCTCAATGGTGCTAGAGTTGGGGTTGGGGAACTATTTTAAGAGAGCAGTTGTGATAACCCCTACAAGGTCCATGGGGCATCACGAATTAATTTCCCTGTGGAGCTCAATGAGTATGCATTCCCTTGATAACAGACAATGGCCTGCCCAAGTGGAACTCATCACCTGAGCCCTTCATAAAGCAGGCCCAGATAATTAAAAACAAAAAAACAGGGTAGTTTGGTGGGGGGAAAGCTGTTTGGTTGTGTGCGATAACACTTCCGGATATAAAGAGAAAAACAGATAAAGTAGATTCAGAGATGGGTCTGCAGAACTGGCTGCTCCAGGCTGGGACTAGCCTACGTACACTATGTGTTTCGGTGTTCAACAAGAAACAACGTTTCTTTCCAAGATAACAAAGTGTAGAGTTGGATGAACACAGCAGGTCAAGCAGCATCAGAGGAGCAAGAAAGCTGACGTTTCGGGCCTAGACCCTTCTTCAGAAATGGGGGAGGGGAAGGGGGATCTGAAATAAATAGGGAGAGAGGGGGAGGCGGATAGAAGATGGATAGAGGAGAAGTTAGGTGGAGAGGAGACAGACAGGTCAAAGAGGCGGGGATGGAGCCAGTAAAGGTGAGTGTAGGTGGGGAGTTAGGGAGGGGATAGGTCAGTCCAGGGAGCATGGACAGGTCAAGGGGGAGGGATGAGGCTAGTAGGTAGGAGATGGGCGTGGGGCTTGAGGTGGGAGGAGGAGATAGGTGGGAGGAAGGACTGGTTAGGGAGGTGGGGACGAGCTGGGCTGGTTTTGGGATGTGGTAGGGGGAGGGGAGATTTTGAAGCTTGTGAAGTCCACATTGATACCATTGGGCTGCAGGGTTCCCAAGCAGAATATGAGGTGCTGTTCCTGCAACCTTCGGGTGGCATCGTTGTGGCACTGCAGGAGGCCCAGGATGGACATGTCATCTGAGGAATGGGAGGGGGAGTTGAAATGGTTCGCGACTGGGAGGTGCAGTTTTTAGTTGCGAACCGAGCGTAGGTGTTCCGCAAAGCGGTCCCCAAGCCTCCGTTTCTTTCCAGTCAGGATTCCTGAGTTATTATAGAAGCTAAACTAAATCTTCCGATGACTGCTCCTGACACCATGTTATATGAGCTAGCTGGACTCTAGATCATCTTGCCACCACCTTCCTTGTTAGATTAGGATCTACAGGGTCTGCACTGAACAGTATGGTAGAGAAAACCACTGGGTAGTCTAATGAGGAGAGGTTCTTGTCTTAAATAAGAGACAGTTTATTGCATCATAGCAATCAGGTATGGGTTACATTGATAGACATTATTGCTAAGACTCTGACGAGATCTCAGTGACAGGTCTGTCTCCTTCCAGATCCACAGCTGGTCTGCCATCTCCCACCCAAGTCCTTATGGCATCATCAGATTGGCTGGTGCTTTACAACAGTCTTTTACATTAACCCTTTCAGAAGCTTTACCTTCCCCCAGTAGAAAATTTGCCTCCCCCTGTGAAAATGAGCCAGTTGTGGCCTTGACTGCCTTGTTTTCCTACATCTCCTATGGCTGGCCACGGATTCCACTCCTAGTCCATCCCTGGGAATTTACCTGGAGGCAGGAACATATAGAAAATGACCAACTATCATCCTTAACACTAACTCCACATGGGGCTGGTGAAGCTCCAGCACTGTGATAGAATCACAGAATCCCAACAGTGCAGATAGAGTCCATTCGGCCCATCAAGTCTGCACTGACCCTCCGAACAGCATCCAACCCTTTCCCCAGAACCCCACATTTACCATAGTTATCACACCTAGCTTGCGCATTGCTGGGCACTACAGAAGAAATTGGCATTGCCAATCCACCTAACCTGCACATCTTTGGACTGTGGGAAGAAACCAGAGCACCCGGAGGAAACCCACACGAACACGGGGAGAACATGCAACTCCACACAGACAGACACCTGATGGATCCCTGGCACTATGAGGCAGCAGTGCTAACCGCTGAGCCACCATGTCCTCATACAAATGTACAGAGTCACACTCAAGCTTGTGGAAACCAGGTGATCATTATCCACCATTTGTAGAGTGAAGATTTTGAAAACATACCACTTTAAAGTAATGGGACTGAAGCACAGTGAAAGCTAACAGTGGAGGGTGGACAGTGAAAACAGGAAAAGCAGAAATCAAACAGAAACATTAAAAAGTAAAAGGATACTGAAAAACAGCAAAAGGATTACCTGTTCATATTGCTTAAAACTTTCTTCTTCGTTCTTCATCCTCTGGAGTTCTTCCTCATCGGGTTGATACATGTCAGGGACTTGGTAGTCATCTGGTCTGGCTGTGCTACACATTTCACACCCTGGACGGGTGGGTTTATTAATGTATGTGCAACCTGAACACACCCAACCAATCTGAGAAAGACAGAGAGAGAGAGAAAGAAAAAGAAGAAACATTATTTCATTCAGAGGTTTTGTGTTTTACAGCTTATTGAAAGCAAAGACTTGGTGCCTTCCATTAATGTACCAAGTATTAGGATATTATCATTATGCTCCACAGATTGAGAACAAAATCCAGACCGACACTGCTGCCTTCCAAACAGAGAGATTAAACAAAGATCATATCCAGAGAACATAAAATGTTGCAGCAATATTCTAAAATATATTAAAATTTAAAATGTGGGGGAATTGTTCCAGTGTCCTGCATAACTGACATTTTTTGCACAACCGCACCCCAAAAACAGATGATGTGGTCATTTATCATATTGCTGTTTTGGGATCTTGCTGTGTAAAAATTAGGCACCATGTTTCCTATGTTATGGCAGTGGCTACCATTTGAAAGTACTTCATTGCTTATGAAGCATTTTCAGGAGTATCTTGAGACCTTAACATAACTATACAAAAGCATGGAACAAACACAGCGAATGCTGGAGAAACTCAGCAGGTCTGGCTGAAACTGTGCAGACAGAAAGCAGAGTTATTGTTTTGAGTCCCCGTGACATTTTTTTCAGAAACTTGCTCAGTTTCTCTGGCGTTCTCTTCTTTTTTTCAGATTTTCAGCATCCGTGGTATTTTGCTTTTACATAAAAGCATCGCTTTTTTTTTTAAAAGACATCCCTTTTGAAGATAACAAGGTGTAGAGCTGGATGAACACAGCAGGCCAAGCAGCATCAGAGGAGCAGGAAGGCTGACATTTCGGGCCTAGACCCTTCTTCAAGACCCTTTTGAAGAGATTGTTTTACTTTTGATTGACTCTTTGATTCGATTATTACATTCTATAAGGAACAGGAGAAATAATAATTGACAATATTGAAACTGATGTGGCCTAAAATAGTCATTTGATGAGATATACTTACATGGTCTTGTTATCTTTTGGTTCTCATATGTTTGGAATGTTCACAGTTTAGGCTTGGAAAATGAGCTCTTTGCTTAATTTGAACTTGCCACACTGCCTAGTTAGGTGGCTAGTATTACATTACACACCTGACTCCCTAGTGCAGCCGTGAATGTTTCCCCCACTGGAATTCTTACACATACCGTTGCTTTCTGGTTAATTAATTCCTACCTCTTCGCAGACAATAAAATACATTCCAATTACTACCCTATAAACCTCACTTTATGCTGTGTTTTTAAATAGTTGATTGTGACAATGCTGTGGCTTTAAGAGGTGTGTTTTCTAATGGTCTCTTTTAGAGAGAGAGAACGGGTGCTGAGAAGATAAACAACTTGTGAAGCCTTAGGTGTTTTTTACAAAAACGCTGAAACAGTAGAAGCAGCCTGAATGCATGTGGTCAATCTCTCAAACACAGAACCAGGAATTTTTAGTTTTCAGCAGCAATTGCTGTTGGGGTCTTGAAGAAGTGGAAGCTATTTTTCCCCCTCTCGATTATAGCCGAAAGCTAGGGACTGTCTTCCTGGGCTGCTAGATTGCATGTGAGGCAAATCAGTTTTCAGAACTTGCATTTTGCCAAGGGTGTGTTTATGGGATGTTACTATATTGGAAGAATAATCAGTAAAGGTTACTGTATCATTTATTCTGTTATATTTTCCAATAGAGTTAAGTTATTCCAAGTTCTTTCTTTTGTTGTATTTTAATTATAGTGTTTGAGCAAATTGTGTTTTGCTTAATGTTGCATCTGGAACACAGCATCTGATATTTACCTTTAAATTAAGAAAAAGTTAGGGTCTGGGCCACCTTCTTAATGTATTTTGAGAGGGTCTGGTCTGGGCTCTAACACTGATATGGTGGAATGGGTGATTAGAAATGTACCTACCTTTGCTGGTTCCTCTGGCAAAGTGTTTGCTTCATTTAATTGTGCTTGGGCACCCCGTGCTTCCAACTTAAGAAAAGCCTCTTCACTGTTCAGTTTTGAATTGAACATACCTAGAAGAAAGGGATGAATCTAATTTTCTGATAATCTTCTCCATAACCAACAGCCATAGTAAAACCAATGCCAATCATATCTTAAAACTTGTCCTTTCATTCACACCCTAGAGACTCTCCTTCTGATTATTTATAAATAAAGATGAACAAATTGGCAGCATTATTTGCACATACTGTCCTACTCTGTAGAAACTTGATCTGGCACAAACTATGCCAGAAAAATACTGGTGAGTTTGTGACTCGTATCATTACTGGTGTGCAAACTGGCCTGCAATTTTGCCGGGAGATGATAATACGCCACGAGTTGTGATTCATCAGAATTCGCTGCTTGATTTAGGCCCCAAATTCTGTTCAAGCTGCAGATACAGGAAAAGTGAGTGAGATACCCACTCGAGAGAGGCATTATACAAACACAAGCCTTTGTTCAGGCTGGGGTGGAATTGGTAACCTGTGCCCATTTACACTTGAGGCCTGGTCACATGGTAGAAGCACAAGGAAGTCAGCTGATGTGCTCATGTAAATAACTCTATTTGGAATGCCGCACACCATCCCGAAGCTGGATTTTTAAAAGGTTCCCGGTCCGGATCAGAGATGATCATTCCATCTGACGCAACCAAACTCTGTGCCAGATCCCCTCCACAAGTGGATTCAGGTTCATTTTGAAACAGACCACCTTGTGGAGGGGAGTGGTCAGATTGGATTTGCCTGGGAAGTGAAAGCCAATTGTCATCAGTTAAAGATGTGTAATTAAGGAACCTATTAAAGTCTGGTTTCCATGTCAATTGGAGGGCTCTTGTGGCACAGTGCTAACATCCCTACCACTGGGCCAGGAGGACCTGGGTTCAAGTCCCACCTGCTCCAAAGATGTGCCATAACATAGCTGAATGGGCTCATCAGAAACTACTTTCCAGGCCAACTGCAATTTTCCTGTCAGTCAATGCGAGGAACCCACATCCAGACCAACATGATGGGTTTAGAGTGGGAGAGGAGGGGAGTGTATAATAGTTCATGTGAGGGACTATACCCACTCTCACCCCAGACCCATTGTGTCACGCTGGGGCATGTCTGTGGGCATTGCTTAAAAAGGCAGTGTCTTTGTAAAAGTAACATGTTGTTGTTACCTCCTCTTGCCCCTTGCACTGGGGCTGTGAATCTCTGTGGGCTGGAGGGCCTCCCATTGGCTCTCAATGTTTCAGATTGCATCCTGACCCCTGATTAAAATATTCTGGCTCTGCTCTCTTGTATGATAAATCCAATATATGGGGAGGTGGCAGCTTAGTTATAATGACCCTGGAAGAGTAATCCAGGGGCCTAGGCTAATGCTGTAAGTGTATGGTTCAAATGGCACCTGGCAGTATTTTTGAAAAATAATAAGAATGAATAAAAATCCAGAATTGGAAAAGTTATTTTTAGCAATGGCAATTATAAAATAATCATTGCTTGGTGTAAAATACTCATCTGGCTCACTTTTTCAGGGAAGGAAATTCCTGTCCTTCTCCAGTCTGGCCTATATGTGACTCCAGACCCACAGCAATATGGTTGACTTTTCACTGCCCTCTGAAATGTCCCTGGCAAGGCACCTGGTTCAAGGTCTTGCTAGTGATACCTACATCCCACAAAACAACCATAGAAAAGATATACAACATAAATTAGCTTCAGAGAAGATGCAAACAAGATTTAAAAGTTTGCTGCAAGGATCAAAAACCAGGACTAAATGGCTAGGACATTTCTCCATGACAGTTCAGGCTGAGAGGGGGAAATCTAACAGAAATCTTTAAGAGAGAGAAGAGGTTTGATAGGTTACATATGGGGAAGATTTTCAACCTGCAAGGGAGCTCAGATTTAAAAGTCATAAATGGAAGAGAGTCACAAATAAATCCAGTGGGGAGTTAATGAGAAATGTCTTTACCCAGGGAATGATAAAAATCTGGATCTTGACAGCAGAAGAATGATCGAGACGAATGATACAGAAACATTAAAAGAATGCTCGATAAGCGTCTGGTGGAGAAAGAAATTGAACTATCTGGTGATTGGGTGAGATACAATAAATCAAAATGGAATCAGGGGGTTTATGTGGAGTACTAGCATAGGCCAGTTGGGTTGACTGGCCTGTTTCTGTGTGAACACTCTGTAGTACCAGAGAACTGTTGGGAATTCGCACAGATTAAATTGGCCTGTGGGTGAAATAATTAGGAGTTTGTGAAATGCTCTCTTTCTCTTCTATTTGTTAGTGATAAATGGAACATCAAAACTTTGGTCAAAATCCTGAAATTCCCTCCTTAAAGGCATTGTGGATCCACCTACAGCATAAAGTTCAAGAAGACAGCTCATCACCACCTTCTCAAGGTCAACTAGGGACAGGCAATAAATGCTGGACGGCCAGCAACACCACGTCACACAAATTAAATTTAAAAATCACAAGTAAGTTTTTAAGAAGATCTTCACTCTTCAAATTATGCTGTACTGACCAGCTATTACTCAGTGAAACCTGTAAGAGAGGGCAATGATTGACTTTGAAGGTTAAGGAAAATGTACTATATTGCTCAACAATGAAACACTTTTTTGTGATTTCAACTAAGATACAACATTCGCCCAGGATACCAGAACAACTTCCTTAATTTTGTTTGAATAATGCCAAGGATGTTTAGCACCCAGGATTGAACTGGGGCACAGGACTTCTGTTTACTGCTTCTTCTGCAAGCTCAAAAATGATCTTCAATTAGAAATTTAGAATTGATTTTCCCAAAATTCAATCAAACAAGCAATTGTTTATGAACAAAAACAAAGTTGCTGGAAAAGCTCAGCAGGTCTGGCAGCATCTGTGAAGGGAAAAACAGAGTTAACATTTCAGGTCCAGTGACCCTTCCTCAGAACTGATAGTGGCTGGGAAAACGTCAGTTTATATGCAGAAAATAGGGAGGTGGGTGGGGTAGTGAGTAAACGATAGGATACAGCCCAAAGAGAGAGAAAGACAGTTGGACAGACAAAGGAGTTGCTAACGATCAGGCTGGGAGGGTGAATAGTTGTTAATGGGGACTGTTAGTGACTAACAACAGGGGGTGTGTAATGGCAGGCTATGTGATAACAAGGCCTGGTGTGTGGGGTGGGGGGCTGGGACATGATAGAGTTTGGGCCCTAAAATTATTAAACTCAATATTGAGTCCGGAGGGCTGTAGGGTCCCCAAGCGGAAAATGAGGTGTTGTTCCTCCAGCTTGAGTTGGGCTTCGCTGGAACACTGTAGCAAGCCAGAGATAGAGATGTTGGCCAGGGAACAGGGTGGTGTGTTAAAGTGGCAGGCAACAGATAGTTCAGGGTCTTTTTTGAGCAGAATGTAGATGTTCTGCGAAGCGGTCACCAAGTGTTGCTTCACCTGGAAGGTATGTTTGGGCCCTTGGATACTGGGGAGGGAGGTGGTAAATTGGCAGGTGTTGCACCTTCGCCGGTTACAGGGGAAGGTGCCATTGTGCTGTAGGGGGGCGTTGAGGGTGAAGGAAGTGTGGACCAGGGTGTCCCGGAGGGAACGGTCCCTGTGGAAGGTGGACAAGGGAGGGGAGGGGAATATGTGTCTGGTGGTGACATCTCGCTGGAGGTGGCGGAAATGGCATCTGATGATCTTCTGGATGTGGGTGCTGGTGGGATGGTAGGTGAGGATAAGGGGAACCCTATCAATTGTTTATGTTAGTGCTGTTACGTGCAATTGGGTCTGATTCATTATGAAAATGTATGCATTCTTTTCTCACTGAAGAAATTGTTACAAAGTTGTATAGAATACTCATGAATTGGAAGGCAGGAAGTTAGAATTTGTTTGTGAAAAGGATAGTAAGGAAAAGCAGTGCGTGGTCCCTTTAAAAGATTGAGCTTTGTCTGCGCCTGAAAGTTTGCAAGTACTGTACAGACAGCCCCAAACTGAAACAAGTGTATCATAGGGCCTTATTGTTTTCAGGCGAAACAGCAGTCTTGTTTTGATGTTTTACTAACAAGCTGGACTCAGCCAATTAATTTAAACCAAGCACTGAGCGATTGAAAGCCAATTGAATTTAAAACTGACGGTTTTGACATTCTGAAACCAATCACATGATAAGAAATTGATCTGTCATTGGGGGTATATAAGAAGGGTTTTTTTTAAAAAATTGGGATGAGAGCCAATTGCCATCTGAAGCAAAAGCAAATACACCATCTGAGAAATAAACCTAGCTCTCACACAAAGTTATTAAGCTGTCTTTAAAAAAAAACAGCATCAAAGGTATCACGGCACTTCTGGCTAAGAGTCTTCACAGGGAAAATTACACAGAAAACATCCCTGACAGCAGGATCAGCAGTAGAAAGGCTGGAGAGACAGTGGAGAAGACAAAGCATTCTGGAAGACACATATAGTGTGAACTTTGAGAGACTAAGTTTTAATTTATTGTTTTCATATTACTTGGATTTATATAATTGGGGCCTATGCTTATTGGAACAGCATATGATTAAAATCTTGTTTTATTAGGAAATAGTTAGTAGTTAGAGGGGAATTGTTGAATCTGTTAGTAGTTCTGTTAATTTGTTCACTGTTGGGGTTAAATAAATAAATTGTTACTTGTTGCTTATGAAGTGAGTATCAAGGATTTCTTTCATTTAATTATACTTTTAACATATTACGAGGGGCAAGGTGAGCTTCTCTGGGTGTTTCGGGTTTAATTAGTAGAAGGGAACCTCTAGTCCCACCATAACGGATTGGGGATGGTGTTTCAGTTTAATTATCAGAGGGATTCGGCCTTCCCCTTCTCCGTAACAACATTTTTATCCTCCTGTGTCCGCAAGTGTCCCTTGGACAGGAAATATGCTTTAGAGCAAATCACATAATCATTTCTGTTATTCAGACAATGAGCAGGAATCTGAGTGTATTGTTCACAAATCCATGCACGCATACGTACGCACAGATTAAATTACATATTGGTGATATCATTAGGAGTTTGTGAAATGCTTTCTTTCTCTCTTCTAATTATTAGTAATAAATGGAACGTCAAACAAATAGGTTAGACATTAACAAACCCTGAGTCTTTTGCACTGGGCCTCTTGCTTCTCCTCCCCCTCTATTAAGAGTATTAAAAAGAAACACTTTAACACTTTTAAGAAGTCATATTGCTCTCAAAACTTTGACTGTTTCTCTCTCTACAGATCCTGCCAGACCTGCTGAGTTTCTCCAGCATTCTGCATGCTTGCTTCAGATTTCCAGCATCTGCAGTATATTGATTTTATATTAATAGGTTAAGCCTTTGCTTTTAACAGTAATGTTTGGATTTGTGCTTTGTAAAGGGCAGAACTGACTTTTTTGTTTCAGCACTTCATATATTGCAAGGATGGAACAATGCTTATTTGGTTTTAGTTCAGAAACATATCTTTAGTTAGAATGCTGAATATTCCAGAGGAGACATTTGTTGCAGAGTGTTGTTCACTGTCCACTAACTGGGGACAAGCAGTGTAACGAATCACTATGCGTCTGCCCTGCCTACTTCTAACCCCCAGGGCGTCAGACTAAGTCTGGGTAGTGCCCACTTCCGTGATTACTGTCAGTTGTTTCTACCATTGAGCCAACATTGCCCACTGAGCTTGATCTCACCTCCCCTCCCTGAACTCACCACATCAGTCTAGAAGGGACATGTGTTGCCGAGTGGAAATCCCAATTGGAATTCAGGTTGCCAAGTAAGGTGGCACAGTGGTTCAGTGGTTAGCACTGCTGTCTCACAGCGCCAGGGACCTGGGTTCAATTCCAACCTTGGGCAACTGTTTGTGTAGAATTTGCACGTTCTCCCTGTGTCTGTGTGGGTTTTCTCCTGGTGCTCTGGTTTCCTCCCACAGCCCAAAGATGTGTAGGTTAGGTGGATTGGCCATGCCATAGTGTCCAGGGATGCGCAGGCTAATTGGGGTTACGGGGAAGGGGAAGGAGTTTGGGTGTGATGCTGTTCAGAGGGTCAGTGTGGACTCAATGGGCCAAATGGCCTACTTCCACACTGTAGAGATTCTATAAAGTATTGGCTTGTTTCAAGAATCACACACCCACCTTTTGTTATTATACACACTCATGGGACGTGGGTGTCTCTGGATGGCCAGCATTTATTGCCCATCCCTAGCTGCCCTTGAACTGAGTGGCTTGCCAATTTCGATAGACAACTGAGAGTCAACCACATTACTGTGGGTCTGGAGTCACATTTAGGCCAGACTGGGTAAGAATGGCAGATTTCCTTCCCTGAAGGACATTAGTGAGCCAGTGGGTTTTTCCAACAATCAACAACAGTTTCATGGTTATCAGTAGATTTTTAATTCCATTTTTTTTATTGAGTTCAAATTCCAGATCCCCAGAACATTACCCGAGTTTCTGGATTAATAGTCGAGCAATAATACCACTCGGCCATCAGCTCCCCAGATTGTGGTTGACCATATCTTAACAATTAATACCCCTCACCTAATAGAAGTATATCAATCTCAGTTGTTAAGATTTCAGTTGACTCCCAGCCTCAGCAGCTTGTTGTTGGGCAGACGGTTCCACATTTCGACGTTTCCTGAAATGAATACTCACCACTAGCTGTCTCTGCTGCTTGCTGTAGAAGCAGAATCCGATCCAGTTCACACTGTCTCTGTGTGATGTTGGCCTGCTTGCCTGATAGGAGGTACATGAACGCTATGTCTCCATCCTTTCGAATGCCATGGAAGTGCAAGGTTTCATTGTCCTTTGCCAGCCGATGAGCGATGATCCACTGTTGCAGTTTTGGATGAAAACTGTAATCATTATGGACCTTTATGGGAGACAAGAGACAAGAAGCAACACTCAACGAGACTTTCAAACTGACTCAAAAATAGAGAAATTGCCTTTGTCTAGCACCTTTTTACAACCTGACAATATCCTGAGCATTACAGCCAATGAGGAACTTTCAAATGCAGTGATGGTCGCTGAGGGATAAGTATTGACCAGGACACAGCAGCGAATTCATTGACTCTTCAAAAAGAACCATGAGATCCAAGTGAGATAGCAGAAAGGGCACTGATTTATTGTCTCACTTGAATTGTGGCACCTTCTTCAGTGGAGCTTTTCCTCAGTGCAAGACTAAAATGCCAGCTTGTATTACACAGAATTCCCCAAAGTCAGACTTGAACCTAGAACTTTCTGCTTTAGAGGTGACAGTGCTGTTATTGAGCTAAAGCTAAGACAAGTGACTTAGAATTACCACCAATGGCGGGTGGACTAGGGGTCTAAGGTTCCCCGATGGAAAATTAGTCAGACCTGCAAAGAAGTGATACGAACAGTTACAAAGAGATCATTGGCAAATTAGATTGCTCAACACCTTACTGCCCTCAGATATAGAAAATGTGTGATGAGTAACTCACCTCCTGATTCCCCAAAGTCTGTCCACCATCGACAAGGCTCAAGTCAGGAGTGTGATGGAATACTCCCCACTTTCCTGGATGAGTGCAACTCCAAGAAGCTTGACACTATTCTGGACAGAACAGCCCGCTTGATTGACACCCCTTTCAGTATTTTAGACATCCACTTGTCCATCACCAACACACAACAACAGCAGTATCTACATCAGAGCTGATCAAGGTTTTTATACGGGGGACCGGTGTGTGTATGGTCAAGGAAGTGTCACATTTCAATTTTACTCGCCTTTGGGTCAGCGGTAGGGGGTGGTGGACATGTTTTCCGCCCTTACCCCTAACAGCCCTACCAATCTCCTAATCCCCCATTTGGGAGGGTGGGAAATGTCAGCCAAGCCTCCCAGTTCAACATGGCTCTGGTTCTCAGATGGGGTTATATAATGTACAATGTGCTGCTTGTAGCTTCTCCAAATGAACATACAAACATGAATTAGGAGCAGGAACGTGTCAAACCTGCTTTGTCATTCAACAAGATCATAGCTGACCTGTCTATGGCCTCAACTCCACATTCTGACTTATTTCCCACACTCTTTGACTCTCTTGTTGTAAAAGAATTCATCCACCTCTGTCTGTCAGCTATTCAATGACTCACCTGCTCCATGTGTACAAGATGATGAGAGGCATAATTTTAAGGTGATTGGAGGAAGGTATAGGGGAGATGTCAGACGTACGTTCTTTTCACAGAGAGTGGTGGGCGTGTGGAAGATGCTGCCAGCTGTGGTAGTGGAATCAGATATTTTAGAGACATTTAAGAGAACACTTGGGTAGGCACACGGATTATAGTATAATGTAGGGTATGCAGAGTAGATTGATCTTAGTAGGATAATAGGTTGGCACAACATCGTGGGCCGAAGGGCCTGTACTGTACTGTTCTATGTTCTATGTTCCAATCTCTGGGAAACAGGGAGTTCCAAAAACACTTATCCCTCTGATAGAAAAAGATTCCTGCTCATCTTGGTCTTAAATGAGTGACCCTTATTTTTAAACATTCAAGTCCCTTCTGCAAGAGGTAACATCCTTTCAATGTCGATCCTGTCAGGTTGCCTCAGGAACTTTAATCAACCATAACAGACATTGTTAAGACACTGCTCTGGGACAGGTGGGACTTGAACCTAGATCTCTCAGTTTATAAGTAGGGACACTATCACAGCAGCACAGATTCCCCTTTTTCTACATTATTTGTTCCTTCCTCAAAGAACTTCAGTAAATTAGTCAAACATAATTCCCATTCACAAAACCACATTGACTTGCCTGATTACACTGAAAACTTCTAAGTCCTCTCCCACAACCTCAAAACAGATTCCAGAATGTTCTCCGAGACTGATGGGAAGCTAATCAGCCTGCAGGTTTCTGCTTTCTGTCTCCCTTCCTTTCTTGAATAGAGGAGTCACATTCGCTGTTCTCCAATCTAATGGAACCTTTCAGGAATCTGGGCAATTTTACAAAATGCAATCCAATACTTCGTTCTATTTCAGCAGCCACTCTTTTTAAGAAAATAGGGCAAAGTCCGTTAGGACCTGGGCATTTATCAACTTTTAGTTGTAACAATGTTCTCAGTCCCCTTTCCCTGGTGAAGGTAACTAAGTTCCTCTATCCCTTTCAACTCTTGACACATATTTATTTCTGAGATTTTATAGCTGAATCTTGGATCTTGCATGCAGGCTGCAGGAGGCACCTTTTCCAATCCTGAATTCAGAAGAACGGTTTGGACATAAGCCATCTTCCTGGTTGAAGAGCTGGTGATTAAGGAAGACTAACAACACTAACAGTAGGGCACAGTACTTTAGAGCTTCAATAGATAGTAATGACAGTGCAGGTCTAATTTGTGATGAAGTTATAACCAAATAATCACAAAAGTATTTGATCTAAAATCAAAAGAAATGGTTCTTTGCATTCTGGACTTTATGATCTGCTTCCATTCAGGAACACAATTCATATCTCATGCTGTTTCCCTCCCATACCTACTGCTGATAGAATGAACCTATTCAGTGTTGGCTTTAGCTCAACAACAGCGCTCTCACCTCTAAGCCAGAAGGGTTCAAGTCCCACGGTGAGGAATTGTGTGTAATATAAACTAGTATTTTACAGTAACATTTTGATTCAGTAAGTCTTTTTGCTTCCGTAATATAAGTTTCCATTTTGCCTTTTGTGTTTGCATTTGTTTTCAGGTTGGTACCCCAGGCTGTCTTATTTTCCCTTTGCTTCAATCAAAGAGAAAATTATTCCACATTTTGACCCCTTTATGTCCCCACCCCAAGAGAGGGTGATGGGGCAGAGTCGGAAAAAGTCACGGTTTGTTTGTTTGTTGCTTTTGTTTTTCCAGTCACTGGAATTTCATTTTGGTTCAAAAGTCAGGGAAACTTTTACTTTTCTGTTTTAAAAGGGTAGAGTGAGCTTTACTGTTAACCTTTGTGTTTAAAAAAGTGTACCTGTCAGAAGCAAGTGCAGGCAGAACCAGCTTTTGGTTGGAGGAGCAACTCTTTTCAAACTTTTCCAGTTACACCTACCGATACTTTGTAAAATGGTTTGTAGGACACACTGGATCACTCGGCTGAGGACACAGTGGACCCCGTGGCCGGAAACACAGGGACCCCTTAGCCGGACACACAGTGGATTCCTTAGCTGGACACACAGTGGATCCCTCAGCCGGACACTCAGGGTCACCTCGGCCAGACACAGCGGATCCCACTTCAGTCAGACATAGTGGATACCTCCTCTCAGTTGGACACAGTGGATCTCCTCGACTGGACACAGTGGATCCCCCATCTGTTGGACAAGCCTGATTTACACAATGCATTGTAACAACTCACCAAACCTTCGAGAAATCCTTGACATTGTCATCTGCAATCACCCTTTCAAGGCCCTACCATCCTCAACTGGAATTGCATTGCTGTTCCTTCACTGTCACTGGGACTCTGCTCCTAACAACGCTGCAGGTACCCTTTCCTCCCTCACCTTAACCCTAACCCTAACAACA